GCTATTCCTATTTAAAAGTATGAAATTTAATGAGCCCTAAAAATGTCAATGAATTCCTAATACATTACAATTTAGAATTAATTAAGGTGACATAATTACTATGTGGAAGTATAGATACTGTTATTTTCTGCTCTTAAAGATCAACCTGATCCAAAGTCGTACAGTTGATTCCCATGCTGGGATCTAAGCATTCTTCAACTCCAGTGACAGTGTTAGCAAGTTATTTTTAATTTCGAGGATAATTTTATACAAGTACCTAGTGCCATGGTGGTATTTAATAACAGGCATTAATAGATTAATAACAGTTTAATAGTGCAGACATTAATATTTCCAGTTAAATTTAAATTATCACTGAATAATATAGTTAGTCAAAAGTATAAGTAGTTTAATTTAAAAAGGGTCTTTATTAATTACCCAAACCCCCAATTTATAGAATTGCATAGGAAAGCAAATGTCATCACAGACTAGAAGTACATACTGATGGACTAGCCACTTACAGTGACGCAGAATTCTTCCAGAACCTTTGGGTGCCAGGTGCCTGATCCATACCAGGAGGATTCCCACGCCATTCCTCGAATCCTCTTATGGCTGGCCATGTTAGGACAGGTTAGAAATTCTAAACCTTACCATCAAGGGCAGGGTGTTGGAGGCCAGGGCTAGGGGACATTGGTGAGCCACATGGAAGTGGTATTAGGGGAGCTAGGAGGAAACTTGTCTTGGGGGTTTAAAAAAGAAATGGTCGCCGAAACCGATTTGGCTCAATGGATAGAGCGTCAGCTTGGGGACTGAAAGGTCCTGGGTTCGATTCCGGTCAAGGGCATGAACCTTGGTTGCGGGCACATCCCCAGTGGGGGGTGTGCAAGAGGCAGCTGATCGATGACTCTCTGTCATCGATGTTTCTAACTCTGTATCTCTCTCCCTTCCTCTCTGTACAAAATCAATAAAATATATATTTTTTTAAAAAAAGAAATGGTTAAAAAAAGAATTGGTTAACAGGACTATGCAAATTTTACTAAAAAAAAATATTAACCCATTTTAAGTGAATTCTACATTCTAGGAAATTTTAATTTTAATTTAGAACTCATAACCCTGAGCAGCAGGTAGAAGGGTTTTTCTGTTTATTGAACAGCTTGCCCCATAAGCCTGCCCTTTGGGGGGATCATAATTTTTTTCTTTCCAACCCTGACCCAGTTGCATTTTCTCCCAGCTTCGTTATTCCCCTTGGCACTTGGCGATTCTCCTCCTGAGTGCACCGTTAGCGGGCTCTGAGGGCCACGTGCTCCGGAGCAGTGGCGCCTTCGGTGCGGGCGGCTTAGAGGTGGAGGGAGAGTTCCTGTTGCTCGGACTGCCAGTTGCTTCGGGCTTTCGGTGGTGTGCGCAGCCCATTTTGTTCCTTGGAAAAGAGAGTATTGGGGAGAGGTCAGAAGTAGGAAGAGGGGGGTTAAAGGAATGCTTTAAGGAAAACCGGCTTAAGAACTTTTATTTTCTTCCTTGAACTTTATGAAAATCTGCTTTTCTTCAACTAGCAGCACAAATACTGGAATGCGATCCTGCCGACGCCCTTTGGCCCTGCTGGCGGAATCCGATAGAGATATCATCAAGTTCTCGATAGCTTCACCTTGATGTCAGTCACCAGCCGGGGAAGTTCCATTACGCTGGTGCCTCTGCTAATCGATCCCGGTAAAGGGCGCTGGGCGCGTGCTGCCCGCGCAGTGGGCAGAGGAGCAGGGCGCCCGCTGGGCCCGGCAGCATGAGAGGCTACGCCCCGGTCCCCGGCGCCGACCTGGAGAAGCCCTACGAGCTGCCTCCCTCCCGGGAGTCCCCCGCGCTCCTGTGCCTGCGTAGGTCCAGCGATCGCCTGTCCTCCTCCTTGTGATGCTTGTGTGTTCAGTATCCTCTCATTTCAAGTAGCCGGTAGTTACTTCTTTTGAGATTATTGTCATTAGTCCTTTAAGCCTTGTCTTCAGTATGGTCGCATTCTATAGAAACCCCAGGGAATTGGATATTTATATCCCTATAGTTGGAAGTTTTTCAGTCATGCTCAGTGGTCAGAGGGTGTTTTGTTTTGTGTGTTTGGAGTCTTGTGGAGAAACTTGAGGTGATCTTTATCGTCTTGCACAGAAGTGCATTCCTCGTCTGTGAGACACATTCCTGCGTGTGTGTGTTCACTGGTCGTGGTATGTGGAGTGCTCAGCTGTCTAAGGAGTTTACAAGTTGTTCAGCACTTGCATGTAGTGGGCAGTGAGCCTTTGGAGGCATCGGATATGTTGGAATCTCAGCCCCTCTCCTTGCCAACTGTGGTGGGACCAGTGGTGCCCTGAGCCTCGCCCCTCATTTGCCGGAGGATAGTGACCAGCTCAGCGAGCATGAGCAAAGCCAATGAAGAAGCTGGTATGTGCGCGGGCCAGCCCTGCACCCATGTCCAGGGCGGCAGGTCCCAGGTGCGGAAGTTACGGAACCTTTGTGAGTCCCCTGTGAACTGGTTGGGAGCTTTAGGTGGTTGCTGTACAGCAAAGGTTTGCCATTGCTGGGCATACTCTTTCAAGGATCTCAAGTACCTGTTATGCTTCTCTCACTGCTCTGCCAGGAATAGCAAGCATTTTATTGACTGCCTACTGTACATTACACCCTTCATAAGAACGTCACATGTAATTGTATTTATTTCCCAGTAGATAGGAAAAATGCATGGTTATACCTATGTAACTATTGTGGAAGTGAATGAGAAGGGAAAGAAACCTGCCCACGCCAGGTCTGTCTGTCTGTCTCCAGGGCCCATGCCCTTTAACCCCATGCTACCTGTTTGGCATTGTGCCTTTTTATTCAGCTGTCTCCCTCAGTAGAGCTAAGATTTCTGAAAGTAGGAACTGGATAATGTGTGTATCCCAAGTTCAGACTTTTTGATGCCTCTTTAAACTAAAAGCAATTTATAATATCAGAGAGTGTCATAACTGACACTTCTTAGCGTATTAAGAATCCTTAACTACTGAGCATAATGGGACTCACCATCCTGATGGGAAATGGGGAGCCTGGAGCCCTTCGCTGTGACAGCATCTGAATTTCCTGTTTGGCCTCAGGTCACTGTTAGCAAAGTGTCTGTTTTCTTACCAGACGGCCACCTCCTTTCTGTGCAGCAGTGCCTCTGCTCGGGCTGAGAGCCCTGTAAGCAGGCTGGCTTTAAGTTATTTCAGTGCCTTAACATTTATCTGAAGTATATTTGGGTTAGGTATAGTGAACACAGAAATCTGACTTTTGCTTTTTTGGCTGTTATCCTTGATTTTCTTTGTAATAATCAGACCTGTGTTTTGATTTTGAACTCTAAAAAGAATGCAGGTGTTTTTGGTGTTAATTAATTTTAAAAAATAAAAAAATCCCCTAATGCACTCTGGCATTTGTTTTTCCTTCGATTAAAGTAAAAAGCATCCTGAACAATGAATAGCATTTTATATTATTAGCCTAAGTACACACTGCTAAGTTATTCACTTGTTTTCTTTCTTTCTTTCTTTCTTTCTTTCTTTCTTTCTTTCTTTCTTTCTTTTCTTTCTTTTTTTTTTTTTTTTTAATGGCAGTTTATAAACTCCTCAGGTACAAGGAGCTGTGTCTTTCATGCTTTCTTGTATCTTTGTCGTCTAGCATGATACCACATAGTGGGTGCAAATGAAATATGTGGCAGTTGATTGATTTGTGGAAAGAGCCTGGACTTGTAGAGTTAGATATTGAGTTCTCACCAGCCACTGCTGTTGAGCGAATTATATGGTCAGTTCCGCTGCAATTACAATACCTCACTAGTTTGTGAGATGTTAAATAACATATGCATTATTTATGTGTATAAGTTTGTGCATGCATGTTTTATGATTTCTGAAGATGCCGTTTGAATCTTAACTGTCCTGCTTTCACATTACTTTTCATGGCTTCACTCTGCTGCACATCTGGACCTTGTCTGGCCCTGTGCGGGGCACTTGGCTAACAGATATGACTGCATGCGGGAACGATGCAGACTCGAGAGCAGAGGGAGATCTGGACAAGTCTCTTGCATAACGTTACTTGATAAGAGAGTAGCAGATGTCTGCTTAGATATGAGTTCTTTTAACTTGTTTCTCAAGTGTTCCATCATCCCATACTTTGGTTTTTAAATACATACAAATGTCCACTTATACAGCGATACATATATCCCAGTTTCATCAGTTATTAGAATAAATTTATAATGATTCAAGACCAATATTGCTATTAAGTTATTGGTTTGCAGAACAAGAAAACTGATCCTTCCCACTTACCTAGTTCTTCCAGAGAGCAGATTGCCTTCCCCGGGGCCATGTAGGAGCTTGAGTTAAAGAATTGGAATGAGCCCAGGGCTTCTGGATCCAGACCCCTTGCTCCTTCTAAGACACCAACAACTGAGAATATGTACAGCAGCCTTTGGGGGCTTTTAAAAATTTCTGGACTTACCTTTGAGCTTGTTTTCCCATCTATTATAGTTCCTTATATGATCATTATGTAGGTACAATATTCACTACTTTCACCAGCTGCTCTAGGAGTGAACTGTCATTTTAAGACCACCGTGGCCTGAGCTGAGTGGATTGGTCAGCAGGGGAGGCGGGGGAGAGGTTTTGGAGTGTAAGGGACGTGAAGAGTAATATAAGATGATATCTGAGAAGAGGTAGAGGAGGTACAAATTATGTAATTGCTATATAGGATGAAGTTGGCAGGTGTTGTGTGTATATGTGTGTTCATTTATACACATGCTCCTAAACAATTTGGTCTGGAACTTTGGAATAACTCATTAGTATATTCATCTTGACCTGCTGTCTTTGGAGAGGGGAGAAGAATTTAACTTTTTCATTTCTTAATCAGTAATTGAATTTGCATGCTTTGTTTTTTGTTTGTGGCATTTTGAATTTGTCCCTTTATTTTAAATAACCCATTAAAATGCAGAAGCTTAGTTTCTGAGTCCATTTACAATATGAATAACCCAGTACTCTGTGCTTTTATTCTCTTTTGAACAGGAGTGTGTTGCTGCTGTTCTGCTTTGCGTCCTCGCTACAAACGCCTGGTGGACAACATATTCCCTGAAGACCCAAAGGTAATTTGATCAGCATCTACTGTCCTCCTCTTTGCTGCCATCCTTACCCTGCTGACCTTCCTAAGGGGTCCCTAAGTTCATTTTTCTACTTTTACTCCTGAATCTCACCATGTACACTACTATTTTATCTTCTCCTTTTTCTTTAAAATGCCTGCTTGTCGAATTTTTAGATCCTTCTCATAGATTAGGCATGACTTTGGAATGGTGGGTAGGTGATATTCTTTGTCTCCATAGCTCCTGAATTTAAGTAATACTCATCAAAATGTTATGAACTGGTGCCAGGTTATTTGTATGAAATGTTAGGACTATATCTGGGAACACAGACATGGCTCTGTTCTCCCCACACTCCTAGACAAGTAAATTGGCAGAAACAGGATGGCATGAAAGCGACAGGAAGCACAGGGGGTGCTGCTGGAGTGGGTTGGAATGGCCTGTGATTTGGGTTTGGGAAAAGAAAGGCTGAAGGAAATGAAGCAAGAATAAATGAAGCAGACTCAAAGAATAAGTAGGGTTGGCCACACAGTTTTGAGAAGAGAGTTGAGATGTAAAGTAAGAACCCTCTGGGCGAGTTTGTCCTCCTTGTACTGAAATTCTTGTAAATTTTTTATAAAAGTCACTTTACTGTGGAAGATTACTGGTTTTAAGCAACTGGGTTTAGTTTAAATTTTCCAAGACTTTTTTAGTCTTGTGTTAATGGACATGAATAAAAATGGTTAACATGTGTCTGATTTCCAGAATTTGTTTTATTTTAAAATATAGCCAACTGTAGAAACCTTTTGGCTATCTTGACATTAATTTACATATCTCAAGCTATATCTCATTTTTAGTCAAATCTAATTTAAACATTCAGCTATTGAGAGGAGGCTAATCAGTTAATGCCACTGGCAGCCAGATACTCTGCATAATATGTGGCATATAAAACCCTCAGATGTGGTTCCTGCCTGTAAGGAGCTTTCTATCCATTGATTTAGAGCAAAACAGACTAAATATTAAGTCCCGTTGCATTATTCAGAAAGTGGAGAAGTTATGTGAAGCAGGTGGTATTTTTCCCCATAAAGCAGGGGAGGCATCACTGGGTTGGCAATCTCTGGGAAGCTTTCTCAGAGAAATGAGACTTCGTGAGCTCTGCAGGATGTACACCATCTGGAGAAGTCGAGGTAAGTCTCTTTGTTGCAAGTGATGACCCTGTGAGAGAAAAGGCATGGGAAAGCAAGAGAGAGGTACATTTGGGATCCAGAGCCTTCAAATTGTAGAGTGTTGGGTGATAATTATGTTTTGCACAATTTCTGATTGGAAATTCCAGTAATGTTATTTAATGGGCTGAATATTCAGATCATTTCTCTCAGTCGTCTGAGACAAATGGTTACTAAAGATGAGGTGGAGGCCAGATACAGAGGAATGGGATTGACAGGCAGGCTGTCTGCTTTATGCACTTTCACTTGTGGGTGGGGAGGGAGCTTTGAAAACTTGACCATGGGAATGATGACAGGTAACTTAGAGAGTGATTACAGAAATAATATTTACCAAGTATTTAGATAATGTTTATCTAATTAGCAATTTGTAGAGGAAAATTAAAAAAGATTTACATGAACCTTGCCTGCATAGGTAACCTGGATAATTGGAGTGACTACGTTCCCATATTATCCCACCTTTCTTAATTTTTACTTATTAAACAAAACAAATCTTCTCTATCCAAAATGGATCAGATAGTAGGTGCCCAGGCACAGAGGGCTTCAGTCACAGTGTCCCTGCCTTTATAGGGCTCTGTAGTGAAGGGACAGATAACCAACCCATTTTTTAAAATTAGTAGCAATATGATCAGTGCCTCATTGTGAAGTAGAAGTTATAAATAGTACTGATTTCATAAGGATCTCATGGGGATTAAGTGAATTAACACAGTTCTTTGCTCACGTTGATTCCTGGTGACCATCACAAGTTAGCACCTGATTAGCATTTGTTTAAGACTGAAAACCTGATGTGACGAAGCATGATAGTAGAAATGAGTGTAAGGGTAAGTGCCATGAGCTACAAGAACATGTGGGAGGAACATACATGTTGACTCATGGCGAGGAAAGCAGGGCAGTGGTACCAGAGAGGGAAGGTCATGAAGCATCTTTTTTGCAAATGATGGGAATAGTCTATATCTTATTTGTTCCAGGGGGTTCTGAGGATGTATACAGCTGTCATATTTCAAATTATATATATATGGGTGCAGTTTATTGTATATAAACTATTCCTCATTAAAATTAGTAAGGGGTAAAAAAAAAAAAAGTGAATGAGATGCAACCATGTTAAATGATGATGTGTTAGAGTAATTCATTGCTTATGAAGGTATATTTCAATGCTTTGTCTAAATGGGGCATTTCTTTAACTTTTTAAAATTCTGTGTATCTCGAATGGTGAATATTAGCATTAAGAAAGCTATGTCCAGAAAGGTTCAACATAAATATGGTTTAGTCACCAATCCAGAAAGGGGAAATATGCAGTAAACAATACTTAGGAAAAAAAAATAAGCATGAAAACATAGTTAACCTGTTTAACTTGTTATATTTTTAGGATGGCCTTGTTAAAGCTGATATGGAAAAACTGACATTTTATGCAGTGTCTGCTCCAGAGAAACTGGATCGAATTGGTTCTTACCTGGCAGAAAGGTTGAGCAGGGATGTTGTCAGACATCGTTCTGGGTAAGGAAAGTCATTGCTGCTAATACTGTATCTTGGAAAATTCTCCGTAGGTTAATTAAATTCATTCTTTAAATTATTTGCCATCTAGTCAGGCAAAAGTGATAGATAGAGGATAAGACACTGTATTACCACACTAGGAAATGTGTCATGCCATATAGATGCTGCAGCTTTTCTTTCTTCCCTGGTGCGCAGATTTTAAGAATAGACTCATGTTAGTTAACGGAGTTGCCTTTAGCTGAAGCATCATTAATTTCTGAGACTTCTTAATGGAAATAGTAGAAATTGACTCCCTTACTCTGTTAGTCTGATTCAGTAATTTAAAAACCAATGTCTAAATTGAAAACAAAGAGAAGATCCTGTTAACTGGTTTGTGTAACACAGTTTCGGTTTTATCTGTGGGAAGAGGAATAAGAACTGTGGTGGGCTTGGGTACTAAGGTTCAGAAGCTGTAAGCATGCTGATTTGAAATGGTGCGTGGTGTACAACTACCTATAAGTAAGTTCTACCTAATCCATTCTCTGGGCGTGAACAGTTATAACCTGGATAATTGGAATGACTGCGTTCCCATATTATTCTGTGATCCTGGTTTTTAGGGTACTCTGTTCCCAAGTGATTATTGCATTTCTCCCAATTGTTACCACGTAGAACATTTTTGAGTGTCTTGATACAAATGGTTTTCTAGTTGATTGTTGAAGCAAAGCTTACTAAAGTCTGAATTTGAATTTGAATTTTTAATTCAAGCTTTAAAATTCAGTGAATCGTAAGGTAACATTTATGGGACATTTCTTTATCTGTTGTTGCTGGTAATGTTTTATATATTCACATTTACAAATATAGATTATGTTGGAAATCTAGGCACATTGCTTATGATATTTATGGTTACAAAGAAATATGGCTAAAAATCTGGAAAACAAAATGTCCTGTTTGCATGCAAAGGTCACGTTAAAGCAGCTAAGGCAGAGTTCTGGCAGGAGGAGAAATCAGGAGTGCCGGCTGGCGTTCCTGTCTCTCAGCATGAGGGCTGTTTCATAACCTGAGCCATCACTGCTGTGAGCAGGGAGATTTCACCCAGGAACTACTGCATTTGCCCATTTGAATCAACTTATTTTCATTTTTTCAGTGACAAGCACTTAGATTTAAGACAGCTAGAAAGGCTTTGACATTGTTTCTCTCTTATGCGTAGGTATGTCTTAATTGCTATGGAGGCATTGGACCAACTTCTCATGGCTTGCCATTCTCAAAGCATCAAGCCATTTGTAGAAAGCTTTCTTCATATGGTAGCAAAGCTGCTGGAATCAGGGGAACCAAAGCTTCAAGTTCTTGGAACAAACTCTGTGAGTAAAACTATTCGCTTAACGGATTTTAAGTTTAATTAGCATATTCGGAGTTAATCTCTGAGAACACTTCCGCTGGGACAGGCACACGCTATGGTCGGGCATTTGGCACCTGTACCGATGTAGGCGATGCGGTCCCTTTGTTGCCGGCTTTGCTGGTGCTCCTTGCGAAATCTGGCTCCCAGGAAATGCAGGCGAGCTTCAGAGCAAGACCTTTCCTTCTTGACGTGCAGGGGTGGAACCTTTTCTCCGCCCACGGCCATTGGGATGTTTATAACGTCATTCGAGGGCCATACAGAATTATCAACTTAAAAAGTAGCCTGCTGCCGAAACCGGTGTGGCTCAGTGGATAAGAGCGTCGGCCTGCGGATTGAAGGGTCCTGGGTTCGATTCCTGTCAGGGCATGTACCTTGGTTGTGGGCACATTCCCAGTGGGGGGGGAGGGGTGCAGGAGGCAGCTGGTCGATGATTCTCATTGATGTTTCTAACTCTCTATCCCTCTTTCTTCCTCTCTGTAAAAAAATCAATAAAATATATTAAATAAACAAATAAATAACTAAATAAATAAATAAAAATAAAAAGAAGCCTGCTGCATTGGGTCAGACATTTCACTAACTCACCCCTGATGCTTTGGCAGGGCCAGGCCACATGATTTTGTGGGCCTTATGCAGCCCAGGGGCCGGACCTTCCCCACCCCTGTTCTAGAGAGGCAGCTCATTGACTCAACAGGAGCTGGATTAGCCAGTTATATTAATATATATAATACTGCAGCCTTGATTTTCTAACATTCTTTGTTCAAAATTCTTTTTGTATCTGTATGTGGTATTTATGATAATTGCTTCTTAATTGGACATTACTTGTTAATGTGACAAGTAAGGAATGAAAGTAAATGTGTTTGGTCCATTTTCAAAAGGTGGTAACATGTTTATATTTATTTTCTTTAGTTTGTCAAATTTGCAAATATTGAAGAAGACACTCCATCCTATCACAGACGTTATGACTTCTTTGTATCTCGCTTCAGTGCCATGTGTCATTCCTGCCATAGTGATCAAGAAGTACGAACGGAGTATGTATTGGTTAACTTTATAATTTAAAGGCATAGCACTATTTATTAATGAGTACCGTGCTTATATATTACATAAGGATTACTAAAGGAAATGAGAAAATGCATGCTTTGTTCCTGAAATACAACTTCCTATTGCTGTTAGAAGAACTGACTGAAGTAGCAAAATTGAGCATGGTTTCTTAACTCTTCGAAATTAAAGTTCAGTCTTTACTGTAACTCAGAGTGCGCCCCCCACCCCAGGGTCAGAGCCTGTCATCTTAGCTTTCTTCCTCCCATACTGTAGCCAGCGCTTCTGGAACACACCAGCACACTGTTCCCAGAGCCTCTGACTGAGTGGTCTCTGTAGGATACCTCCCGGGCACCCTTCTTACCTTAGTTCACATTTCTGCAAATGTCGCCTCATCATGAGAGTCCTGCCCTGGCCACCTTTTCTTTGTCAAATATTAACCCTCCCATCCCATCTCAGTTACTCTGTCTTCTGCTCTCTGTGGACTCCGAACTCCAGGAGGGCAGCAGCCTTATTTTGAGAGCTGCTGTCTCACTGACACTTGGAATTGTGCTGGGCACTTAGTAGGTTCTCAGTAAGTGCCTTTTGAATGAATGCATAGAGTGAATGGTATATTACTAGTCACTGTCAATCTCAGGTTCTCATAACTAATTGGAGCATTTTTAAACATTTTTTCTAAATACAACCTAATAACAATCTGGAATCAAATACTTATCTGCAAACACAGTCTACATATAGGCTGAAAGTTAAGAATTAAAAATAAAAATTACCCTGGTAAATAAAGGAATTTGAGCTTTTCCATAATACACTAGAAAGAAAGAAACTAACCTGAATTCATAGTTATGTCGGGCCAGTTTAGCAAGATTTAGCATGCTTTATAATTTTTACTGTTCCTTTTAAAATAAATAAGGGAATGTGCAAAAAAACCACTAACTAGCTTTTAGTGTATAATCTACAGTGTTGGTTTACACAAGCAAAAGCAAGTGTAAAAGTTAACTTGGGAGAAAGAAAGCTGAGAGATTTAAGATAGATTTGTTTCTGTTTGGGATGCTGTTATATAATTTTTCCTCAAGGCCATTTAGACTTTATTATGAGGGAAAAGCCTTAGAAATGTAAAGGTAACTATTTTATAATAATTAATTTCCTATGTCTCCCAGTCTCCACTAAAATATCTCTTTTTATCCCTAAAGGACGTTAAAAATGTTGTATAAAATTGTTCTCTGTTTTCAGGGGTGACATTAAAAAGTTAATGGGGCAAAAAGTATAAAAATTAGCTAAAGAAAATGGCAGTTTTTTAAAGATTATAACAATTTTACTTTCTTTTAAAATACAGAAATTATTCAGAACGTATAGTGTTGTGGGTTTGTTTTTTTTCTTTCAGTTTAGTATTATTATAAGGATTAATAAACTGCACATAGACATTTCTTAAATTTTGATTAAGGTGAGTTTCACATATAAACCAGTTTAGGTGAAAAATGTTGATGAGATCCATAAAATTAGTGAAGGGATGCATTTAAGAAATTCCAAATTTTATTACATTATCTTATTTTTAAATATGTAGCGCCCCCTACTGAAAGATCTTGTCTTGAACATTTTCATGTAACAGTTTTCATTAATGTTTATAAAAAGAAGTTTGACATTTTCTATACACAAATGAGAGAGCCTTGTAGTACTTTTTTCTGATTGTAGGTTTTTCTAGTATTTTGTGGTAATTGAAATTCCAAATGACAACATTTCATTTGCAGTGCCTGTAAAACAAGTGAGTAAACTAAAATGCTTTACCATACTTCCCGGGCTAGATTTTTTTCCTGCTCTGCCTAAGTCAAAGCTCTTTTGTTTTCTTCAGGGATATTTGTATTCCTCTTTAGGTTTTAGCTGAGAAACTTATTATCAATCCCTTTAATTTTAGCAAACCCTATCAGATAGAACTCGGCCTGTGCAGTAGGAAATGGGGAATGGGTCTGATAACTGTTAAGATTTTCTTAAAATATTTGTCTTGCAGGAGCAGTTCCCACACGTAAAGTCAGGTATCAGTCTTAAACTCTAAATTCCTGAGCAACCTCAGCTGTGGTAGAAATAATCATTATCATCATCATCATCATCATCACAGTGCTCACCTAACACTTATTGGGTGCTTACTCTGGGCAATTTGTTTAACCCTTTATTGACTAAGCTCTTTACATGAATTAATTCATTTAAACCTTAATTCATTCAAACATTTCTATGCTTTCGGTAAGACGGTCTAGTTTACTGATAAGGAAATTATAAAATTTCTTTGAAGTCATGACTAGAATATATTGGTTAGACCAGATACTAGACCTGAATGGATGCCAGCTTTGCAGCTGTGGTAGCTATAGGTAGTCCCACCTCCTCCAGACAGGGGCAGCTCGCTCTGCTGTTCTCTTTTAGGCTCCTGTGTCATGAGGCACCAGCCACCATTCTTGTGTCATCTTGTTTGCTCCACCTTGTCATCACCCAAGGTGCATAAATTAGCCACCTTGTAGTAACGTCAGGCCTGCCCACTTGTGATAGCCATAGAGTCTCCCATTTATGCTTTGGGAGCAGCACGAATAGACACAACTTGAAAACAGGCAGACTTGGTCTCGCGTCTCCCAGTTCACTTTCTCACCTGCTCAGTGTTGTATCACTGCAGCTCCCATTCTCCATCTGCTCCCTGGAAGGCCCGTGTCATTTCCCCAGGGTACCACCCTCTTCCCCAGAGCTGCCACTCTAACCCTACTTGTAGGTGTTGGAAGACAGTGCTGGATGAGTTGAATAAACCTTCGATGGTGAATGTTTTTGGTTGTAGTGAGAAAGAAAGTCACCAGATTTGGCCAGAGGAAACATGCTTTAGGGCCAATAGGCTACCATGCTATATTCTGGTCACTTTTTATTCTTGAAGAACCTATAGATCTTTTTATATAAGGAAGAGTGAGGAAGAGCTTGAGGAAGTTGGGGCTGTGGATCGGGATGGAAGGGTGGGCTGCATTGTCTCCCTGAGGGATGAATATTAAGTCACAGAAGCACACGATAATGTAAATGTCAGTACACACAAATATATAGGGATGGAGATATATATATATATATATATATATATATATATATATATATATATATATATTATATGGCTGAGTTTGTCTGCACCCCTTGTGATAGTTCTCATTTGTCAGACCTTTAAAGGAACCAGCTTGGTCTTGCAGTCCTCCATCTAGAAGGGCTCCGGGCGGGAAGGGCCTCGGGAGGCAGCAGGGAGAGAAGTCTGAGGGAGCACTCAGGTGCTCAGAAAGAGTGAAATCCTGTTTTGCACAGCTTCTGAGCCATCTAGGCGAGAAATAGAGAGGATCTAGCTCATTGTTTCAGATTATCATCATCCTCTTAGGAAAACTAATGCTTTTGATTGGATTCTCTTATTGAAATTATATGTAGACCATGACGGTCCTTCTAACTTTAAATGCTGACTTTTAAAGGATAGTACTGAAAGGAAGCCTCTTTCGGAGCTCCTCATCTCTTTGTCCATCTTAGATTGCTGAGATTTTAATTTCTTAGATTTGTGTTGTTTTCATTTTATTGACTTGAGATAACAATATTTATTTGGGATTCATTCTCTTAGCTAAACAGGCAGTCTTGTTTATAACTTTTTTTCATGATTCCATTTTCTCTCTTATAGAATTCGAATTGCTGGAATCAGGGGTATTCAAGGTGTGGTTCGCAAAACAGTTAATGATGAACTTCGGGCTACCATTTGGGAACCCCAGCACATGGATAAGATTGTTCCATCCTTGCTGTTCAACATGCAGAAGACAGAGGAGGTGGACAGGTACTTGATAAGGGCGCTGGGTGGGGCTGCGTTGCCTTTGTGGAAGGTGCGTGTGCTTGCTCACGAGGCTAAGGAAGTTCTGTCTTCAGCATCATGTAAAGGTGGTCTGTAAACTTGAGTTTACCGGTAAATATGTGCCCTTTCTGAAAGATTGTTTGTCTTTTGTGATCACACTAGGCTTAGTAAACGACAGATTTGCACTCATACACTTCAAGTTTTATTTGCTTTAGAATAATTTTATACTTTATTTGTAATTTATTATTGATCATCCAAATAGTTATTTGAATTAGTATTACTTAAAGTTACAAGTGTAAGAAATAGAAATTATAGCTAAACTTTTGTTATTCGTTAGAGATCCAGCATTCTTTTCATGAAGTTAGAAATAACCAAAACAATAATGATAATAGTAGCAGCTATTTACTTTATAATTTTCTCAATAAAAAGGTTAAACTGCCAAGACCGGTTTGGCTCAGTGGATAGAGCGTCAGCCTGCGGACTAGAAGGTCCCAGGTTCGATTCCGGTCAAGGACATATACCTTGGTTGCAGGCACATCTCCAGTGTGGGGTGTGCAGGAGGCAGCTGATGGATGATTCTTTCTCATCAATGTTTCTAACTCTCTATCCCTCTCCCTTCCTCTCTGTAAAAAATCAATAAAATATATTTAATAAATAAATAAATAAATAAATAAATAAATAAATAAATAGGTTAAACTGTGTTTATTCCTTGCTCATTCTTTAAGATATTTGAGGAGAAAAAGAAAGTATCATTTTGCCATTTCTGAGAAGTAAAATCTGCTCTAACTTTGGCACCAGTGTTAGGATTCTCACATTTGTGTTTATTATTGCTCTTTCCTTCCAGTCGCATAGGCCCTCCTTCTTCTCCCTCAGCAGCTGACAAAGAGGAGAATCCTGCCGTGCTGGCTGAAAACTGTCTCAGAGAGCTGCTAGGCCGAGCGACTTTTGGGAATATGAATAATGCTGTTAGGCCGGTTTTTGCGTAAGTGGTTGGTCTTTTCCTGATTGTAACTGTGCAGTGTTCTGTGTTAACTCACTTACAGACAGTACCATTTCTTGTATGAGGGAGTTACTAATGGAACAGAGTAGCATTGTGGCAAGAGTGCAGGGTTGAGTCACATACCATACATTTGAGTTGGTCCAACCGCTTCCCCAGCTTTTTTTCCCTAAAAGTGAAGTGCAGGCACACGCTTGATGCCAGGTGCATCACTTATCTTAAATTTCTGCCCACAGACCTTGAAATGCATACCCACGTAAACTATTAAAACAGCGGCCATGCAGCAGGTATCCGTTTTATTAACCTCTGAGGTCGAGGCCTCCTATTGGCTGGCTTGTTGCCTGGCTGGCTTTCTGCAGGGGCCGGGCTGCCCTAGGCACATCCTGTGCTCTGAGTAAATGTCTTGTTAGCAGTGACTGAGTCAGAGCAGGAACGGTAGCTCTGATTGGTGCTTGTATTCTCCCTCCAGCAAAACAGGTTTGTGAGCTGTGAGGCTCTCCACGCACACACCATCTTTCCAGCCTTGTCTAGGCGTTGGCTTCACAGTCTTCAGATGACAGAGCTACCACTAATATTCCGTGTAATTGCTGCACGTTTTTGCAAGACTTTCTTTTGTTAATCACTTGCCTTGTTCTTTTCCCTTCCTGATTATAAGAATGTGTTTATAGAATATATAAAGCAGTCTGAATATAACATCTAGAAGTCTTTATTTGGGGGAAATACTTGGGTTCAAAGTTGAACTTAAGTTATAAAAATATGTAAACCACAAAATTTTATTAAAAATCAGAGAATCATTAGATTTTCAAAATTGTGATTTTCACCACCTAACACCCCCCCCCCAAAATTACAATTTAAGGACTCTGAGTCTATAAAAAATATACTAAGAAATAATCAAAATGATGTCAATTATAACTAAAGGCAGATTTACTTTTTAATGACCAGACATGCTGATTTAAGAATTCAAGTTTTTATCTTAATATTATTTTTTTTGTGTGTGTGTGTGTGTGTGTGTGTGTTGTTGTTTTTTTAACCAAAAAGTACAGTGTAAAGCCTTAAAAATCTATAGAGCTAGCCTGGAAGGTAGAAATTACTCAGTTATACTGCACTTAAATAACATGGAAGTGGGCTATATTCCATGTAGAGTTTGATGGACTTAAAACCCAATTCTGTGATGGTTAATTAATTAATGTTAACGAAATAGTTAATTATGTATTAGGTGTTTAGATAATTAAATATTAAACATCCTCTGCAAGTAAGGTATCAGGTATTTTGGGGAATATATGCCTGAATAAAACTGTCCTGGTCCTTAACAAACTTGATGGCTAGTGGGCATGCACTTATAATGAAATACAATATATAAGTTATGATTAAAGGCCAAAAAGTGCTATAGCAGGTTAAAGCACAGAATTCAAGTTGAATTTGGGATATGGGGGTGGTTTCTTTGGAGGTAGGCTTAGCTGGAGCAGTAGGTCTTAGCAGGTTGAGGTGCGTGAACAGAGCAGAAAACGGTGGCTTCAGTGCATACTCAACTGTTCAGATTCTTGCCTTTTTGTGGAGTTGGAATGAGCAACTTTTCTTTCTTGCCAGCTCATCTGGGTATTTAAAAGTCTTATACATATTCTAGCCTTTTATTGTTGGTGTTTTATGAAAGAATTTGGCATTTGGGGGAAATATATATCATATCTGGAATTAGAACATTGACTTTCTTTTAAATAATTTTTTGATTGCAAAGGTTTGCATGTTGTCAAGGATTCTAAAGGAAAATAAGTTTAATAAAAAATTATTAATTTTCTTACTGTTAATTACAGGCATTTAGATCATCACAAACTGTGGGATCCCAATGAATTTGCAGTTCACTGTTTTAAAATTATAATGTATTCCATTCAGGTAAGTAACTTTGGTTCTGTGCTGATAATTATTTCAGTGATTTTCAACCAGTGTACCACCGCACACTGTTCCCCAGCATTGTTAAAACGGGCAGTACCTGACTGTTTAGTCAGGGACACACACCTCTTTTCCCTTAGATTGCCAGATTTTAAACAATGACAGCAGGCAGCACAATAGCCTTTCAGTGTGAATAAATCAAAATGATACCTTTTTTTTTTTTTTTTTTTAGTCAGAGTGATAAAAAAATACATTTGTTGGTGCGCCACAGAATTTTAGTAATTAATTTATGTGTGCCATGAGATGAAAAAGGTTGAACATTGCTGTTATATGATATAGAACAGGTTCTTAATTTAGTTGTCTCATTTATTTTTATTTACTACTTAATTGTTTTTATTTGCCAGTAGGTAATATAAAGAATGAAATGATTGTATGATAGTGCTGTTATTGTGCATTTATTAAATACAATTGTGCACTTATATTTCACTGATAAACTAGAAATGGAATTGATATTTGTGACATTGCATGTAGTTGATAACAACGACCATTCATTGAGTATCTACTCTGCAGTGGTGCCTGTGTTAACCCTGGTCTTTGTAAAAGCTATGCTGGGCCACTCCTGGCTACTGCAGGGACCCTATGTCTTCCCTCAAAACCAGAACAGACCAGTTAGCTCTCAATATTAGTGGGATTTCACCATAAAAGTCATTAATTCAAAGGAGATAAGTTTGTAAGAAACACAACTTTTACTGTCAGTCATACCAGGATTTATATCCTAGGTGTGCTATTTACAAGACTTAACGTTTTTTTAGACCTGCATCCCAATGTCATTTACAGTTATTGATCAAATTTATGTGAATTGGTAAAATGCCTGTTGTAAATTGCAAGTTTTATATCTTCTTGATTTCAATTTCATCAGGTACACATTGAAAAGATTTTCATTTTGATAATGGCTCATGATTAGATTAAAGCTTTGTTTAGCATTGTTTGTATTCACAATAAAAAGTAGTATTTATCTAGTTTGGGTAGGAGAGAGGTACTATAAATGTCATGTCTTTTTTTTAACAACATTTTGTTCTGAGAGTATGTGTGTGTTTTTTATGAAATTTCAGAAAAATATAAAGAGAATAAAAATTTCTCATGAATTCTGCCAGAAATGGCCAGCTTTAATATTTGAGTATATATAATTCTAATCTTTTATACTCTTAAAAATCCAGATTGAATTTTATTAAACATAATATTTTGCAACTTACTTTTTTCACTCAGGGTATCAAATATTTTCCAGTATCCATATTTATTCTTTAAGAGGATGATTTTTACTGGCTACATGTTGTTCTGTAACATAAGTACTGGCTCCTGTTCTTAGACGTCTAAGTGTCATGTGGTCTTGTTATGAATTCTGCTGGGATGCATATAACTTTCATATGTCTTTGGGCTGTTTTTTTTTTTCCTTTCAGGCTCAGTATTCTCACCATGTGATTCAGGAGATTCTAGGGCACCTTGATGCTCGTAAAAAAGATTCTCCACGGGTTCGAGCAGGTATTATTCAGGTTCTGTTAGAGGCTGTCGCCATTGCTGCCAAAGGTTCCATAGGTGAGTGCCTGCAAAAAAACAGAAACAGAGCAACCACTGCTGCCTTGATCTGTTTCAGAATGTTTTCTGTTGATAGCACAGTATATGCAAAACCCTCTGAAAATATTTCTAATTTTTTTAAATGTGCTGTAATTTTTTGTTGTTGAAATTTTGGGTTCACATGATTATTCTCAGACTTACTTAGTGTACAATTAATTAAGCATTTTCCCCTCAAGTCAATTTCTCCTTCTCTTCCTCCTTTTTTTCTAATAAAGATTTCTGGATGCCAGTTGACATGCTAAAGATTTGGGAGGACACAGATAAAAGAAACATTGCTTACTTTGATTTAAATAGTTCTACCTCATACTGTAATGAAAGGCAGAATTGGATCACCTATAAGAAAGTCAGGGTCAGAGAAGTGAGGGAAAATGGATTGGCAAGAGCAAATACCATGCAGCCGGTTCGGCAACAAGATGTGATGGCCATGCAGAGGATGTCAGAGAAGTGGCTTTCATGTTAAGGCTGTGGCCAGCTCACAGAGGCAGCTCTGTCTGCAATTGATTGATACTCATTAAAGAGCCCCTATAATCTTGGTCAGAGATATATTGTAGGATAATTCATCTGGCTGCAGAATGCAGGACATTAGAAATAGCGGGTTGTCATCGTGGTAGGCATGAGGGAAGGGACTAACGTCGATGGCAGCGATAGGAATGTCAAGTCAACAGGATTTCATAGCTGACTGTACGGATAAAGAAAAAGGACGGGACAGATCGTGATTTTTTTACCTACTCGAGATTAGAAGAATGGAAGAGCCTTTAACAAAATTAGTGGCATTAGAGGAAAATCTGCTTATATTTTTTTGGTACAAAATCAAAGTGGAAATATTCTACTTAACATTCTCTCATTCATTCACTGTCAAATAAGAATAGGCCTTTTGATATGACTTCTCACTGCTTATCTTGTAACTTGCCTCAAAGAGATGGCAGTAGGCTATATCACGGGAAGTTATGTGTGAGCCGCCATGTTCTGGGCTCTGTACATCCCAGAAAGTGTTAGAATGTGGTTGGCTTGCCGAAACCGGTTTGGCTCAGTGGATAGAGCTTCAGTCTGCGGACTGAAAGGTCCCGGGTTCGATTCCGGTCAAGGGCATGCACATTGGTTGAGGGTACATCCCTGTTAGGGGGTGTGCAGAAGGCAGCTGGTCAGTGTATCTCTCTTATAGATGTTTCTAACTATCACTCTCCCCTCCTCTCTGTGAAAAATCAATAAAATATATTTTTTTTAAAAGAAGAAAAAAGAAAAAGAATGTGGCTGACTGGCTGGTAATTGAGGCAAAGTCTTCCTTCTTCAGCTGCAACAGATGCAAAATAACTTTCCTGTGCTATGGCGAGCTATAATATCATAATTCCATGGATTCTGGCACAACAGTCAAGTTAAATGTCCCCATACACAAGATTAGACAGGTAGACAGTTTTGAGAAATCTTTATAAGTGTGCACATTTTGTGTGGCTTAGACAGTGATTCAAACAGTGAGCTGTTTAGAGATGCCAGTAAATGTTTGTTGGAGTAACTGGGCTTTAGTTAGATAAGTCTCGTTTACTTTCTTAACGAACTGGTTAGTGCATAAATTAGTGAGTATTTCCAGTTGCCCAGAACATAGCCAGCGGCCTTGGGAGGGATGTGGGATGTGGCCTTGAGTCCGCGTTGGGAAGTGTGTGTGCTCACCTCCGTGGCCCCTCCAGGCCCCACGGTGCTGGAGGTCTTCAACACACTGCTCAAGCACCTGCGCCTCAGTGTGGAGTTCGAAGCCAACGACGTCCAGGGGGGGTCCATGGGCAGCATCAGCTTAAACTCGGCCTCCAAGGACAACGACGAGAAGATTGTGCAGAATGCCATCATCCAGACGATAGGTGAGTCCCTGGCCCTTTCCACACTCTCACGTGAAGCAGCGTTTTGTTAAGAAGTTTTTGCTTAAACAGTTGGTATCAGTGTGTAGCAAACTCAGCTTTAATTGTGACTCCTAAATTGATTCGCATTGTTTACGGATTTGTAGTGATATTTTAAGATGGTATATCAAATCAGCTCATCTTGTTTTCACAAAGTTATTCTAAATTGCTTTTGCAGCTTCTAGTTAATTCGGTGTTACTGTTTTACTTTAGAATGTTTAATTTATTGTTTCTCAAGTATTTCATTATAAATGGATATACAGCAGATTTGAGCAATATTTCTGTGACACAACACATTCAGAAATAAAATGTGAAAATTAAAACCTGACAGAAAATAAATGCAGTGCCGCACAGAAAGTAAGATTCCCACGTAAACTGCACTTTGGTTTCCTTGTTGGAGTTCTCTGTGCCCTGGCAGGGAGCAGGGGAGGTGCATGTTCTTGGCTGTGGGCTATGGGACACGCTGCTGTGGCTTCAGCACTGCAAGTTCGGAGACTGCTGGCCAAGTACTTTCCCTTCAAATTACCAAAACATAGCTCCCTGCTGTGTCTCTGGGGGGTCATTAGCATTTTTATCCAGCAGTTCCAGTACAGCAGTGGTACAGAGGCGGAGTTAATTCCAGGACTCTCCTCACAGGGAGTCATGCCAGAGACTCTGTCCTGGTGGTAACGACAGACTCCCTCGGTACAGAAAGTCAGTGTCCAGTTTTGTAGGGTGATTAGAAACATTTCTAATTGGGTTCTTGGAGAGTTAAAAGTACCTTCTAAGGAGGAAGGAGAGAGTGATGATGGCATAGGCCTCGTCTCAGGCCTTAGTATTAGCTGTGTAGTTTCTTAGGTGAGTTCTTAACCTGTCTTGTCCTCAGGTCCACTAGACAAGACCGAGGCTAATAACAGTAACTAGTCTCATAAGGTTGTTGTGAGGTCCAAATACAAAGGAGTTTATTTCCCCTGAAATATGTGTTCCTTAAGTGTTAACTAGAATAATACTTTTTATGCATATTTAATAATATAAGACCATGCGATTTTTTATTGCTAAAGTATGTGATAATGGGAAATGATTTTTAATTCATATCCAATTAAAATCATGAGTAGGACAACTTGAGTTTGTATAAGTAGATTATTATTAACTCCAACTAGGGGCCCAGTGCACGAATTTGTGCATCCTGAAAGGAATTGTGGGCTGTGAGGCTGCTGTGGGCTCAGGTGCCGGTCTCGGCCCATCTTATGCATCCCTGCCCAGCCCCTCCCACTGTGGCCACCCTCCACCCCATCCCCTGTCTGCTGGCGGCCACACTCCCACCACCACGCTCCCACATGCTGACAGTACCAGCCCCATCCGCACCTACTGATGGCTTGGAGCAGCAGGTGCAAGAGGCAACTCAGGAGCGGGGAGGTAGAGAAACCCTGAGGAACAATTGGGGCCTGCAGCCGCTGCTCACACCTGCTGATGGCGCTGAATGATCGGGGCTGATTACAAATCAGAAGGTCTCTGTAAAGATTGTGTTGTACATTTTAAGATCTGAACAGAAATAGCAGTGATTGGATATCTGTTCTGATCTTTCAAAGAAACAACAAAGTTTGAAGTTTGAGTAAGTGTTAATTGAATTTTGTAAATACTTTATGACCAGAAAGTAAGCCTTAAAGCCTTTAGCAGGTAAGCTTAAAATATCCACAAAACCCAAGAGCACATGAGAAAAATGACAAGGAAACAAGTTACTGTTTTTTAACGTCACTGAATTATGTGTTTTGAATTAACTCACAGAGTGGCCCATTATGACATTCTAAAACATTTAACAATCCTAGGAAAACCAACGTAGTGACCTAATTATTGACCTCTTTACCTAAGTGTGTCCTCATTATTGACCTCCTTATTAGAATAAAGAAGTAGGCTCACAGTATATGAACAAGAGTTCATTAGAAATACTAACAAAAGGTGTTTTTTTCTTTTTCTAAAACTCCAACTCAAATTGATGATGATTTGCCATTATTAACTATATGCAAAAGACTTATTAGTCAATTATATAAGTCTTATATTATCTATGGTTAAATGATTTTGATTAAATGAAATTTTAATTTCATTAGTGTTTGAAGACATTATTTCCCACATACTGAAAGATTTGACTTAAAATACAGTTTTTTACTATATGGAGAAATTTCATTTGTAAAATGTAACTTATTATTTTTTTAGGATTCTTTGGAAGTAACCTACCAGATTATCAGCGGTCAGAAATCATGATGTTCATTATGGGGAAGGTACCAGTTTTTGGAACATCCACTCATACTTTGGACGTCAGTCAACTAGGGTATGGCATATGTAGTTTTCCAGCTGTAGATTTCAACTTAATCTTGATTTAATTTCATTTTAAAGAAATCTAGAAAGTATTGTATTGTTTCTTTAATCACTGGTACTAAAAGTCCTGTGGAAAGTAGTGTGTTTATGGTGCTAGATTGCTAAGCAATGGAATCAGCATTGTGTGCTTGTAAAATCAGTTTTCAGCATATCATAAGTTCTCTTAATTTTCTGTGTCTTTTATGGATCACGTGGAAGGTTTATTTAGCTTGGGTATTGTCTATATACATAGGTATTTAGGGTACAGCCTAAAGTGTTGTGTAAAAATTGAATAATTAAAATCAGGATAGCAGGAATGTTGATTTATTCCTACAAATCTAAAACTGAAAGTGATTTTAAAAATCATATGTCTTGGTCACCTCATTTTATAGATTTGATTTGATTTTACAATATGCTAAAGCTTTAGTTTGTGAATATTTTTGTGTGTTTTGCTACTTTAGTAAGGAAATAATAGTCTTATTTGATTTATATTTCTTAGTTAATTAGATAACCCATTTTCCATTTGTTGAATCATCTGGTTTTTATCTCTTAAAATATTAGTCACTTATATTTGCAGTAAATATATTTCCCAACTTATAGTATCTTTTTATGTTGTTCTGTTATATATTCACATGCTTTAATTTTCATATCATCACATGCATAGATCTGTTTCCTTTGAGAGCCAATAACTTTAATATTTTTGTTTGAATTTTATTTTTGACATGTAGCTCTTTAATTCATATTAAATTTAGAGTATAAAAGGAGCCATGACTTAGCTATTATTAAAATCTACTTAGCCAATATGAGTAGAGTTTTAAAATCAGTAAATAATAAGTAAATTAAGTAATGTGAATGTTAATTACTATTAATAAGATAATGCTAGTTTGCTGTATCTTTTAGGGATTTGGGAACCAGGCGGATTCAGATAATGTTGCTGAGATCCTTGCTTATGGTAAGACATTTACATTAATTACATTATTGAGGAGGTGAAAGCATCTTTACATTATGAGCCTCTTTTCTCTGTGGTATATATAATTAAATATAATGCTTTCATTTTCTTATATATTATTATGCTCTTATTATTTATTTCTTCTCATGTCGTCTTATTTGGCATTCATGGGCTTGAAGTCCAGTGTGTGTCTACGTATCGTGCTCTTCTTTCATGTACTGACCAAATAATGGCTTCTTACTTGGGAAATAATTCATCCTTAAGTAGCTGGGAAGGAAAAGCATGTCTAATGGGAGGCCCTGTGCTCATGTCAGAGTAATCATATTCATCTTTGCCTCAGCAACCCCTCACCTAATGCTGGCCGGGGCTTACTGTTTGGAATGTCTCCTTTCCCTAGCAGTACTGCCAACAGTTAATCTGCACATCTTCATTGTCCATGGTTTCACCTTGTAAAAAGAGTATTTCAAAACCAGGGAGAGGTACAGAAACATCTGTGATTTTCATGTTACTCCTGTTCATGGTACTTAAAATTTTAAATTCTAATATAGCCAAATTTATCATTCATTACTGTGTTTTGTTTTTTTGTGTCTTCACTTCTTGCCTCTTCTGATATAAGCACATTTGTTTATATTTTCTTACAAAAGTTTTTAAAGTTTGGCTTTCTACATCTAAAACGTTGATGTAGGACAGGGATAGATTTTTAATTTTTAGGGGGAGTAGCAGTTGTCCCACCCATATCTTTTCTTGCTTATAAGATCACCTCCATCCTATAATACTTGTTCCAAATATGTTTGCAAATATAAATATACATTTAAATTACCACCTCAAATTTTATCTGGTCCTATTTTTCATTAAAACAAATTCCCTAGTAGATCATCTTGACCTAATCCTACTTGTACCACATAGTTAGCTAAATGAAGGTCTGTGTGATATAGTTAAAATGTTTAACAGCATTTAAGATATGCTGAAGATATGAAAAGCTTACAATTTAGAATATAGGGATTCACTCAAAAATGTCCATTCAAGTACGTAATAAAAGTATCGCTTTCCAAACTGAAAATGTATTCCTATTAACTGCTTAATATAAAAGAACAATTTAAACATTCTCAGCTCTTACTGGAACCATTTGCTAGCTAATCTTATATTCATTTAGTACTGATTACCTATCCCATATATTCTTAACCTCTCTGACCCTCAGTTTTCTCGGATAAAGTGGGGCTGCACGCATGCCCACCTCACAGAGCTGTGGGGAGGATGCAGCTGGTGCAGGTGGCGCTTAGAGCCCTTCCTGGCATGTGGAAAATGTGAGCTGTCATATGGTTACTCTCTTTACGAATGCTGTTTTTGTAAATTCAGTAAAATCCTCATTACCTTACAGAACTTTTTGTTTTATTTTATTCAGGCTGATGTTCATACTTGTTCCCCTTAGTTTGTGGCTCTCATAAAATGGTTTTGAGAATTTTACCAAACAAGGACTTACGACAAAGGCATTTTGTTTTTCTTTGATCCTTCCTCCCTGTGATCAGGTCACCTCTGGGTACAAAGCCAAGACCATTGTTACTGCACTACCTGGGTCTTTTCTGGATCCTCTGTTGTCACCATCCCTCATGGAGGACTATGAATTGAGACAGTTAGTCTTGGAAGTAATGCATAACCTCATGGATCGCCATGACAACAGGGCAAAGCTTCGAGGGATCAGGTAGTGTGCCAGCTTGAAATAGGCTTAATGCTGATGTTTTTTAGTTTCTACATTCACGTATTTTAAGTGTTGTGATATTTTTAAATCTAGGACTTTAGGGTTTTACTAATCCAGAGTTTTATTTAATTGGTATGAAGAGTATTTAATATCAGTATTGTTTAAGATAGCAAATGTTTAGAGGTCTTTCAGAGATCTCAACTACTAGTTACATGAGTTTTGATTTTACTTTAAACTTAGAAATGGCATTAGGAGTCAAGATTACTTTATGAAATTCTTAATTAAACTTCCTAAGTCAGCAATATGATTACATAATAGACTTACTTAACATGCTCATTGAAATGAGTGTTACATAGGTCAGACTCCTAAGTATAGCTATTGATTTGCCACATAACCTGTGATATTATAACTAAATGTGCTGTTTATTAAAAATTATATCTGGATTATCTCTAGAATAATACCTGATGTAGCTGACCTAAAGATCAAAAGAGAAAAAATCTGTAGGCAAGACGCAAGTTTCATGAAAAAGGTAAGATTATCTTTTAAAAAATAATGCATGATAGAAGTTAAATACTGATCTCAGTGAAAGCCATTTGAATAGTTAAGTAGTTTTATATATATTGACATATGGCCTTGAAATGAAGCCATACTTTATTAACAGGTGGAGGTTGGGTTGGTTTGGGGGAACCTCTGTGCAGTCCCTGGGAAGTTCTGTCAGCTCTCCCCTCTGGGTCAGCCTTAGACGTGCCTTTGGGGACTTCACACCAGCGCATAGCGGAACCTGCCAGGCTCTCCCTGGACAAGTGCTAACCGCCTCTCAGACCAGGCAGCCTTGGCACCTCTGCCCTCCGCCAAGGCTCCCTAATCCTGCCACCGGGTTTAGCTTTTGCTTATATCAATCTGCAGTTTGTTTTTGTCTTTTCAAATATCACTAAAAATATTTTCATGGTTTACACTAAACTATTTCCTACTTGCTGTTTTTAAGGCTTGCTCTTCAACTCTTCTGTTAGTTTGTGGTTGTACGCTGGTATATTTGTTGATGTTAATGATGGGAATACAAATTGACCATCTGATTATCAGTTTAAGTTTATTTTCCACCGTATATTGTGTAAGAAGATAGCTACTTTATAAGAGTTATATGCATGTGAAATCTGCCTTTACTGCATTTTAAGAAAACATCTTTTTCCTCTGTCATGACCCTTTTCAGAATGGGCAGCAACTATATCGGCACATATATCTGGGCTGTAAAGAGGAAGACAATGTTCAGAAAAACTATGAGTTACTTTATACTTCTCTTGCTCTTATGACAATTGAATTGGCGAATGAAGAAGTGGTTATTGATCTCATTCGCTTGGCCATTGCTTTACAGGTATGTTTCCGTAGCCTTTCATTGAGGAAAACATTTTTACATGAAACAGATACCATCTTTAAAGTGTTGTTGCATTTATACAAGGACATGAGTTTTTAAAAGAGAGTGTCTAGTTTTAAATCTAAAATACTCAATACAATGACCATAGGCGGTTGTTTTGTTAACAAATGTTGAAAGAGCATTTGTTTGACTGTGTGCTAGACATTGTTCGAGTCCCCAGGAAAGTCCTGTAATGAAGAGACAGCATGGTCCCTGAGCTCATGCTTGGAGCTCAGTGGGGAAGATAGTCATTAAATACTATGTTTATAGTTTGGTTAGGGGTTAAGGGTTATGTAATAAAAGGACAGTAAGCAATGACAGGGTGTGTATAATATTTGTATATCAGAGAGAGATGTTTATATATTTAATATATATGTACTATTTTTTCTTAGGAAAGCTAGTTGAGAGATTTTACTCTTCTATAGACGGGCATTTATTCTCCTTTCAGAATTTTTAAACAATGCATTCTTAGAAGGTGACATTTTGGTTAGCATTCCAAACCACCCCAGCTTTCAGTGGCGCCAGAGAGGAAGCGGGAGCCTAAGCCTGTGCTGTGCTTTCTGTTCAAGGACAGCGCCATCCTCAACGAGGACAGCCTGCCCATGTTCCACCGCTGCGGCATCATGGCGCTGGTGGCCGCCTACCTCAACTTCGTCAGCCAGATGATCGCCGTCCCCGCCTTCTGCCAGCACGTTACCAAGGTCAGGCACTGCTGGAAGCTGCGCAGCGTGGTTTCTGTACAGACGTGGCTAATTTCCTTTTGGTGGTGATTAATTCCAATTTTGATAGTTATGTATCAAATTCAGATAATTTATAGAATTATGCAGTGACTGGGTCTTTTCTGGATCTTTTTTTGTAAATGGAAACTACATTAAACAATTATGAGTCTTAGTATCTAAATTTTCTAAAATTTTACTATTTTTATTGTTATTGTTTTAAACCAATCTATTTGAGCCAGATCTCAAAAGTTGAATAATTTTGTTCTCAGAGATTTGTTCTCCATTTGACTATATTTGGCTTTTTCAGCAACTCATTAAATAATGACTTGAATGATTTAAAAACATTTTAGGGGAACCTCATTTTATGGAATTGGGAGTACATCTCTTAGTTGGATTTTAGTGCTTTCTAAGAAATAAAACTCATTCATTCACTAAACAAGTGAATATTTAATGCTGTGAAAGCAGAGTTTCCCCCTTCGGTTGCTCACAGTTGATGGAGGAGCCAGACTTCCGGGCCCTGGACCTCTCGCGGGGGCTGCCAAAGGAGCACGGGGGAGGGTGTGCCCAGGGCCCAGGCCTGTGCTTTGTGAAGGGATTGCCAAAGCAGAGGCATCTGAGAAAATACGTGTTCCATCATGTGCAGTGCGTTTAATCAAGTGTAGCAGGTCATTGTGTTTTTACCACATGCATTACTTTATTGTCAGGATTTTGTTATCTGATGAATTTTGAAGACAATGTAAAAACAAAATGAACTCTGCCTTTGGGCTGTAAGCATAGATTACATTTAAAAATAAAGTGATGGTATTTCTTATATACGTTTAGTTTTTGTTGTTATTTTAGCTTTCCACGTTTTCATAGCAAGGTCCTAAGAAGAGAGGTTTTTTATTTTTATTTTGTTTCTGGGTATTTTTCAGGTTATTGAAACTCGAACGATGGAAGCCCCTTATTTTCTGCCAGAGCATGTGTTCAGAGATAAGTGCACGTATGTAAATCTCCACATTGTAAGGCAGGATATTGACTTGAGAGACCTGTTAGTGATTATAAAGGAATCAGCTGATGAGAATAATTTTCTGGTGTTTTTTAATAAGCATGTTTTATGTTTCTGGCATTTAATTTATCTCACTTCTTTCTCTTGCTATAAAAGTTCTTACACGTGTTAAATATAGGCTTGTGTAAACATAGATCAGTCTTTGATTAAAAAATATTTATCTTTTTAGTATGGAGCTACATCTCCTAAATAGCATGTTCTCATATAAATGAACACTCTTTTAAAGAAATACAATATCCTGTTCAAGATTTTCCATAATAGATAACAATACTCATAAAATCCTGGGAGGAAGACTATTAAGGAAAATTAATCATTTAATGCTGCATTCTTCCTTGCCATTCAAACAAATAAGTGAACAATGTGTTCCTCACACTTGTGGGTTCTATTGGAAGCATCAACATGAGATAAAATCGGGTCGTTTGATCGGCAAGAGAAACGTCATGTCCTTGGGCCAGTGCTTCCTGTCCCTTGCTGGCCCAAACGGTTTTTCATTAACTGTCAGAGACTGCGTATTTATGTTCTCTCAGTAGATTTTAATCACCTTGCAAGGTAAAGCTGAATTTAGTCCCCTTTATCATTTAATGTGTGAATGCCAACAGAACAGTGTGAGCCGGACCTCACCCTTGGAACGCTCTAGGGGAATGAGTCACAGCAGAATGGTTTACAGAGGGACCCGTGCCTGGTGCTGTCAAGAGTTCACATGAGCCTCTAAGTTATACTGTGCCTATTGCTAATTACAGATCGCTGGTAATATTTTGGCTCTGACCTGGAATGTTTGAATGATAACTTATTTTTGCTCGGTAATTTAAGTAACACTGAATTACTTTTGTTTGATCAATCTGACAGGCTCCCAAAATCTTTGGAGAAGCATGACAAAAATCTGTACTTTTTGACCAACAAGATTGCGGAGTCCCTGGGTGGCAGTGGCTATAGCGTTGAGAGGTTGTCAGTGCCGTACGTACCGCAAGTCACAGGTGAGCAGAGGCTGACCGGAACTCTCACTCTAGTAATATGTGTCAGTAACTTCCGTTCTCAATTAGCAGTGAATCTTGTTTGTATGTTTACTGTACCCCAGCTTCCAAATGCTCAAGGATGGTTACTTGTATTTTTCAATTTTCCTCTTAAAAACTTAGTACGTCTCTAAAGGTATATACAGGGATGAGCAAAAGTAAGTTTACAGTTGTAAGTATGCTAAACTGTTATTTTATTTATTAATAATTGCACTATCATTATTAACCTACTTTTGCCCATTCCTGTATATGATTTTATCATGAACAGATTTAATCTTCAAGTGATTATTACAGTTGCACTAAATAATAATATACTTTAAACAAAGAAGGAGCGTAAGATCTTTCCTCATTCACCAGTGTTGTGTTTAACTTATGGAAATGGGTGAAAATTGTTTAATTGGTTACCGGTAATTGTGTTTATTGAGCTTAATGAATTAGGCAACTTTTGTCACGTGAAAGAGTACAGATTATTTGCTGTGCAAAGAAATCTCAGATGTTGTGAGTTAAGAATATGCTTTCTTCCCTACATATTTCCTCTGTTCTTGGCATTCACCACAGTCATTCTGCAGTGCTTCAAGGCAAAACTGCATGGTGTCTTACAGTCCATTTTTACTTTAGATACTAAAATCAAACAGTATCTTCCGCCTTCGTTTTCACTTGGTGATTGTATAAATATTACATTTGGTAGAACTAGTTCTTCCTTTGGGGAAACGAGGTGGTTTTATGGAATAATCACTAAAAGCAGCACAATCTTTATAAATACTTATCTTTTTGTATAATGTGGATCCAAAATACATACATTTATTACAAAGATAGTTGTTCATAGCATCTGAGATGTCAGTGAATTCTTTTGCATTTTATTTTATATCCTATGCTATATAAGATTTTATTCTGCATGAATTCCTGGGGGAAATAAAAACGTTAAGAATAAGACATTAGTAGAGCATTGTAATTTAAAAGACTTTAAAAATATTTCATTCTTATTGTGTGGCTTTAGCTCTCTTTCCTTCAGGCAAAAACCCTCCTAAGCCCAGGCACAAGTGCGAAGGTAACCCCAGCGTCAGTCTGGCTCCCTTCCCCGTCCTCTAGGAGAGTAGCTTAGTCAGACATGCCTTTTAGAACGGATCAGAGCCTGCAGACCTTCTCCACCTACAAGCTCCGTTACGATTTTGCTCTGCCTCCCTGTAGCCGTAGTTAATTTGCACTGCTTATTTCCTTCTAACCTGACCCTTCCACTCTTCACAATTTTAGTGAACATTCTGGTGCTTTTTTTTTTTTTAACAGGTGGCTTGTTCTTTTCCATTTCTTCCCACCCCTGAAAAAGATGTAGTCCTTTCTTAATGCCTCTTTATCTCTAACGGGAAGAATTCTGAACATTTCATACTTGGTTATACTATGCAGCAGTCAGAGTGCGAGTTTCCTGGTTTGTAAAGACGGGTGGTGTCGAGCAGTCCATGGTGCATGTGCCCTGCCTCAGTGCAGAAGGAGGCGGGACACATGATTCTTTGTGGGACAGTCAGCTGGGCATTGTGTTTTTCTTTGGCTGTATAACCATCAGGTGATATTTTTTAAAATTAAGGGATTTAAGAACATCTTACTGAAAAAAAAAAAAAGCAAAACACATTTCGTTTGTTGTGTGACAGGTGTGTGTGTGTGTGTGCATGTTGGAGGCAGATATAGAAATATAGATATATACAACATCATTATCAAGATAGCATTGCCATTTATTAGGCACCCGCTGTGTGCTAGACACTGTGATGTGTACTTCATGGTCACTTATTCATTTAACCTTTAAAATAGTTCAGTGAGGAAGGTAGCATTATCTTTGTTTACAAATGAGGATAGGAAGGCTGAAATTAAATAACTTGGTTATTATTTTTTATCCCATGATTTTTGGTTGGGTTTTAGTCTATAAATACAGAGGTTGCCGAAATAGGTTTACAGATGTGAGTATGCAAAACACAATTTATTCTTACATTATAGTTTATTAATCACTAATTTATATTTATTTATTTGTATTTTAACTATAAACCTACTTTTGCCCAACCCTGTATGCATTAATTCTATGGAATTTTGTGCTTTTCTATAGGACCAAAAAAGTATGCCTTTGTAAGTAATATCAGCATTAAACTATGGCATTCTGAATTTGTGAAGATAAATTATTTGTGAAATTTCATTTGCCCCAATTAGCTCTTTAATAGAATCTGAGTAGTAGTGTAGCCCAAGTCATATTTATGACTTAGTGTGTACAGTGAAGACGGTGTCTATCTGACTGTTAAATAGCCACAGAAAGTTCCATGGGCTGTAGTTCTGTGCCACTTGCATTCAGGCTCCTTTTTTCCTTAGCCGGCTGCCTGCACGTGTGTGCATTACGCGTAGGCACGCCAGGTGGCAGCAGAGCAGCACGGAGAAGTGAGGCGCAGCTCTAAGTACTGGTTCAACTCCTGCTCCATTCAAACCTGAAGCTACAGGAAGGAGGAGAGGGAAGTGGGGAGTGGAAAGGACACAGTCATGAGTATCCGGGACTTCCCAGCCCCCTTTTGGGGAAGGAAGCAAACATCTCCCCAGCCTGTATGCTCAGACTCTGAGCTGGCGACAGGGCATTCTCTGGAGCAAGAGGGCAGGACAGTCCACAGAGGGGCGAGGCTGCATCTCCGCAGGCTTAGCAGCCAGCTCAGGAACAGCCGAGCGACCCCTGGGACGGGCATCATTTCCCAGACGCTCTGCTATAGGAACCGTGCGTTTGTGCAGAGGTACAGGTGCTGGCTGTGTACCTGGGCTTTGCTGCAGTCACCTGTAAGCAAAGGACATGTGTTACGGTTTCCCGTTAAAATTTATTTCCTTCCTTTTAGAACTGAATCTTTTTATATGTCCTCAGTACTTCCCTTCTGTTCTCACTGATTTTGCCCCCACTGATCCGTTTCCTGCCCCGTCCCTCTCTTTCCCTTCTATCTTAGGTTTCAGTTTGATTCTCTTCTGCAACTCACAGCCATCGTATGTCAAGCGAGGCATTCTTCTCTCGTGTTCTCTGTGAAGTAGGCTGTTTACCGCTCAGTTTGCGTGCTAGTGAGACCTTGGATGTTGGCCTGCTTGGAGGGTACAAGCAAGTTGGCATGATGGCCACATACTATTTTGTAGCTCTTCTGTTATGTTTGCTAATTTATATCAGAGCATATGATCCTGGAGGAAAAACAGAAAGAATGCAGTGTCTTAAGTGAGCTCACTACTAGACGGCGGTAAAACAGTGACCTGCAAACTAGCAGAACTCAGTGCAGGAGTCGTTGTCACATGAAGCATGTGCTGGTTCTGTTCCTCGGCCTTCATAGAGCAGAACCGAGTGACTCCTGTGTGACAGACGCAAATCCGTGGTCACTGCATTTCTGCTTATGGGTGGGGAGGTGAGACACTAACTTCCGTGTCTGCAGTACCAGGCCCGGTAGGGGATGGAAGGTGACAATGACTGAAGGGAAGATCAGTCATAACAGAGTACATTTTCGTAGCTAGAAGAAAGAGATGTATGTGAAGTTAAGATTTTCAAGGAAGTGATATATTTGATTAGGCCTGAAAGAGACTAATCTTTAGAGCAGGGAGGACCAAGGCAGGGAATGAAGTTTCCAGGAGGGTCCCTGTCTGTAGGAAGGTGTGGAAGGCAGGTGTGCTAACGCAACTCAGGTTGTAAGAAAGGCATGCGGACTTGAACACTAGATCAATCAGGAACAGCGAAAATTACTACAAAAGATCTGATTAGATAGAGAGAGAGAGGCCCAGAGCGCCTTTTTAATTCATCGGGGAGGAGGAGAATTGCTTGGAGAGCAGTGTGGTCAGTGCTTTATACAGCTTGTAGCATGATGGAGGCATATAGGGACAACTGTACAAAGGTCTGACCATCCTGCAGTGCACTGACAGGTCCTCCACGGTTACCTGGCCTAAATTGCCAGCAGTGCCACGGTGAAGAACACTGCCCAGGTTAGGCTGTGATGGCACAATTGCAGCTCCTTGCTGGTTTGAAACAGGAAAAAATTCCCTTGGTGCTCAAACCAACTGCGTATGTCCCATAGCTGGAGTCCAGGCTGGTGGAGCAGCCACCTTCGGGAGCATCACTCTTACTCTATCGGCCAGAGCTAATTAGGTGCCCCTCCTGCACAGACAGGCTGGGAATTGCAGTCCTACTGTGTGCCCAGAAACAGTCAGCTACCAGATTTGATTAGCATCCATCACTACCTTGGAAGGCAACCCCGGGGAGAGGTAGTCAGTAAGAGAGAAGCTGGTTCACTATCCTCGCCTCCTCTAGCCCTTCATTCTCCCCTGGGGAATAAAGCCACGGACACTCAGGCGGGGCCAGGAAGCTCCAGTGGTGCAGGCTGTCGGTGCTGCATCACGCAGTGTGCGGGCCTGAAAACACGGCGCCTGTGTGTTCAGAAAGAGCAAAAGGACAGGCTGTCTTAATTGTCCCAAGAGTTTTGAAACCGGAAGCATGTCGTTTATCAATGACACACCATTTCTTGCTGGCATATAACGGGGGCTCTTTATTTTAGATGAAGATCGACTTTCCAGAAGAAAAAGTATCGTGGACACCGTATCCATTCAGGTGGATATTCTGCCCGGCAGCCTCCCTTCTGACGATGTGGTGAGTTGCTGAAAGTTCGTGCTCAGTGCTGTCTTGAGAGAGACATCAATTTGAAAGAATTGTTTGTCCTCCACGCTTTCAAATAGGAGCAAATGTAACTCCAAGTTATCCCCAAATCAGCAGTTTTTATTATAGTAGACAATCTGTTTCAGCCTGGAACTTAAACTTGAAATTTATTTTGCTAAACTCACTTCTGTCTATAAAAATACATAATGTAACATGTGTGATATCAGTAGATTTTACAATGTAATCTAGTGTAATAACAAGAAAAAAAAACAGAACCAAGTAAGATTTTTTTAATAAGAAAGAAATGTCACTTAAGGCCTATCATTAATTAGGAGGCCTCTAGATCCTGTTTTCAAAGACTTAATGAAACATAAGTTATGAGAATAAATGGAAATAGGTACCTCAGATGCTCACAACTTGTAAAACTTTCAAAACTCCTGTGAGGGACATTTTTGATCACTTGAGATAGTAAATGCAATGAGCATAACGTCGGCGAGGCTGTCTCGCTGACTGTCCTTAGGGCGGGCTCACCGCACCTCTGAGGTGTAACGCTCTCCTCCTGTCTCACTAGCGCACGAGAGTGTGACCGCCCGAGTTGTAGCAAGAAGCGCAGCCGCACTCTCTGGATCACCACACGGTCACAGAGAATGTGTTGATAGTCGAGTCAAAGTGCCGCAATCCAGCATGCCAAGTCAGCCTCCTCCTTGGTCTATCCATTGTTTGCCTTCCTAGGTATTTCATTGTTTCTCGTTTGTACAGTATAAATCATTAAAAGAATATCCACCTAAGCAAAGGGGAAGGAAGTCGTCTGAATTCATGCTTTCTCAGCCTCCTCTCTCGTCCCCACTCCCGGCCCCGCCAATTGATTTGTCCTCAGGGATTCAAACAGTTTGGGGGCCAGGGTACAGTCGACTAACATACATCTTCTGTTGGGTAGGACTAGCCCATTTTATTAAGAACTTGTCTGCAGAGCGTCAAGGCACAGTCAGTGCTCCTTGTGGGGCTGAGATTGGTTGGAAGGTTCTTGCCAATTTAAAGCTCCAGCAAAACCATTGTCCTCAAAGTCCCCTCTTCTGAGCCATGTTAATTCTGGATCCTTGCTGGTGAGGAGGTATCTTGCTTGCTCTGTCCTGTAGTGGTTTTTAATTTGGTGCTATTATATTTTGAGGGAAGAAAATCATCTTAAGTCTTTGTTTATACACTTTATTTTGTCAAGAGTATAATTTATTTTATTGACTGCTATTACTCCATGTTCCTCTTGTTAACTGCCTTTCTTTTAAAGATACATATAAAGCACTTCAAACTGTTACAAACAGTCCTTTTTTGAGAAAATATACTGAAAAGACATTTGCATAAAGACTTAATGTCGGAGGAAGATTCCTGAACGTGAACTTTACATTAAAAGCCCATTAATACATTTATTAACTTGTTAAAGAGCCTTTTTCTTTGTTGTAAGTCCAAAGTCAAACATGCCTCCCACTGAGCATTTGAAAAGTTAAGTAAACGGTTTACTAAAAGATGTCTTTGAGCTGGTTGGAGTTTCAAACCCATTGACCGTTATGGAATCTGATTTTGCATATTAGGAATGATTGTTCAGATACCAGGAGACAAAAGAAACCACCTTCTAGCCTGAACTAATTTCATGGTGAGGACAGGAGAGATTTGCGTCAGTTAGGTATGCACCAATTAATGGTATAGCAAAATATCTAACTATGAACAAGTATGCTAGTTAATAATGGATCGGTTAAGAAAATTGCTCATTTAAAAATAGTACTCTAATATTTGATCAAAATTATTTGAAATTTTACATATATAACCCCAGTTAGTCTCCAGATCTGATATCTGCTTTTAGGTTTATAACTTAAAAACAAAGTCAGAAGATTGTTTAGATGAAGATCATAGCAAGTTTGTGTTTTCTGTAGATACAACTGAAATTGTCACTATAGTCTGAGATATCTGGTCCACTTGAGGTATGTCAGTCCCAACATTTGCTATTCAAACCTTAGCTTACTGTGATCACTTTTCTCAAAATTGCCTTATGTATCAGTATATACATATATTTTTTTCCCCTAAAACTCTTTAATCCAAATGGCTAAAGTATAATGGAGGCGTGTCTGCCTCCTGAGATAAAATTACCAGTTGAGTGATACACTCAAGTGCTATAGGCATGACCTTTGACCTCTAGTGTTCTCTCTGAGCACTGTGGGCATGATTTCAGTGCATGATGGATGTAAGTAATCTCAGTGCGTAATTATTTGGGGGAATGGATGAGAGGGTATGTATACTCAGTTTTTCTTTGAGAATGGTTGGCTGAACAGAATTGTGTGTTCTAGGACAAATACACATCTGTTTTATACACGCGTACTCTTGCCTTTTTCCCAATTATAACTGAAGATTCCTGTATGCATGCTAACAATGATCCTGAGGTCCGCAACAGTGGTCAGGCCTGCTGTGCAGTGCCACACAATTACTAAAGCGCTCGTGGAAGTGGCCCAGAGCTGATGGAAAAGAGATGAATCGCAGATTTTATGCAGGCCCAGGGGGGCTGTACAGTCAAGGTCAGAGCTCTAGGTCAAACTTAAGGCCAAAGTCACACGCAGGAGGAGCTGGAAGCTTTGGGACGGTGCCTGGGCACTGTTTTCCGTGACTCCAGCGCGCCAGTTAGAGTTGGAGCAGATTCCAGTTAAGCTGAGCACCAAATGGAATAGCTGGCTTGTTTTTAGCAGCTCCATTGTATGAAACACATGAATCATTAAACACTATTATAGAGCAATTTAAAAAAATACAGGATTCATAAAAGGGAAACAAGATTGAAGACAAATCATAGAAGGTTTGTATTACCAGCCTTGGGGCTTGACGTGCGACTGGGCAGGAAGCAGGGAAACACTGAAATCCAATAGCCATTTCAGAGCTGTGCTTCACACAGGGACTGAGAAGCGTGCCTGGACGGGAGATCCTTGTAATCGCCTGGACGGAGCTCTGAGGACCTGGAGCGGCCAGGCTGGGGATGAAGAGGAGGGACTGGGGCAGGAGGACCCTGTTCAGAAAGCAGAGTGACTGACTGAGAGCAAGTTAGAGAAAGGAGGTTACCAAAAGGGACGGGCAGGGGACTTAGTTTAGATGCTGAGAGACTGAGTCATCATGGCCAGAATTAAGGACAATAACAAACGGAAGAAGAGTTGTGCAGTAAAGCACGCTGGCTTCTCACCTGTCCGGGGGAACAGGTAATAAGTAAAGTCCCCAGTGTTCTTTCTCCTGGGCTGTGATGGTTGGTCAGAAGTCTGATGCTCTTAACCAGTTGCAAGAGCAACCGTTTTGTTTTTTTTCATAGAGGTACTAGATCGCTTCTAGATATAAATAATTGACCAGCCAGAGCCTAATCTTATATATCTGCTCCAAACATCTAGAACAAAGCCACCGAAGACTCCCAAGTTTAATGTGACCTCAACTAGAACTCCGAGCCTCGGTAGGAAACCGAGGCAGTGGAGCTGTGCTGCTTGGTTTTCGCTCAAGCCTTTGTATTGCAGCTGCGCAGGTGCAGAGAGAGCAGGCTTCCGCTCTCCTTAGACTTAGCGAAGGAAGCTCATGAGCTAAAATTAGGGATGACCAAAGCCCAGGCAAGTACTTGCATTCCATTTCTTCACTTTTATTCAGAGATAACGTAGTCGCTGGATATATTATCCCTCCTGAAAAGGATCCTTCCTGAAATGTGCCGGCACCCCCGGGTGTTAACTGACTTCGATCAGAAAGCACTGGCCTCACACCTTTTGCACCTCTCAGAGCACGAGGGCAACGTGAGAGCCCAAGTCAGAGGGTGTTCCGGAGAATAAGACTTGGTGGTGGCCCATGGAATATCCAGAACACGGTCATTTTAAGCTGTCGGTGAACTGTTTTCCCTGAACACTTCCCAAAGTAGTGATTCTTGCTTTTTAAACTTTTTACTATTTTAGATTATTTTATTTTTCTCTTTGTAAACAGTATGAGGTGCCAAAACGTACAGAGACTACATGATACTTCATTTTTCACTTGTTACATGGCTCAGACTATTAATGCGTGACCTCTGCCTGTAGTGTTGTGTAGCCACTCAGTCAGGGCTCAGGGCTCCTCGCACTTCCCCCGCTGCAGGTTCTCCTCAGGCTGCTTGGGGGCCAGGATGCACATCCGGCCAGCCCAGTGACAACCGGTAGACTGTTTGGGAACCCCTGAAGCACACCATTAGCACATTTGTGGAGTATAATTACAAATCATGACAATATAGAGAAGAAAAATCTTGTCAAACCTCTTACATGACTTGTAACTGCATGAAAGTATTATTTATATCCACCTTTCTAACTATTTTACTTAAATCACTTTTCTCCAGGTTAGTAACACTGAAGAAATTACCTTTGAAGCATTAAAGAAAGCAATTGGTAAGATTTTGTTGTACTCATTAACTCTCCCAGTATTTTGATAGTTTATCTTAGTACATGTCTATATGCTGATTTCTATATAAATATAATAGATTTCTTTCTACAATTGTAAAAAGTCAGAGTAATACTTTATACCAAGATAAGTGAAGGCCACAGCGTCAGTCCAACGTGGCGTGAGATTTGGCTGCAGCAGTTCTAGCTGTGCGATCTTGGAGAAGGTTCATTTCCTGCCTGGTGTTTGCATTGGTGACACAGCAGGGACTAACGTGACACTGTCGTGCCTGCTGACACTCTCACCCATTGCAAACTCACTTCTCATTATACTACTGTGTGCCTGTTACAAGCCACTCAGTTTACTTTTCCTAGTATTTCTCAGAGTTTCCATCCTACTTCTCAAAAGTTCGTGCAGCTTGCATACTGGTCACCAAATAAGGGTGGCACTAGAATGCACTGTAATGTGCTTGCACAATTCTAGAAAAGTCTGTCTATACAAAGGAAAATAATTATCTGTGACAAGGTAGACATTTACTATTTTACTGTTTCACAAACTTTGGCTAGACCATACATCTTCAGGTAAAAACTCGCGTTTAGATTGTGATAAATGGGTTCTGTGTGATGCCGCCAGAGTGGTTCTGTGTGATGCCGCTCGGTAGCCAGTTGAGCAGATTCCTGCAGCGCCTCACCTGTGCAAGGTGTGGCTGCTGAGAGAAGATTCCCCTTCGGGAAGGAAGCAAGCATGCTCTGGGCTCTGTGCAGTTTGAACTCGGAGATTTAAAAAATTTTTGTGTAAGTGCTGCTCTTAGTCTTCATTAAGACATTTCAAAGCAAGTTACACCTTCTGCTTTTTTCCTTATAAAAGTAATCTTATAAGTTGTTTCTCTTTGGTGTGAGACCACTTACTCTTATAGTCATTGGAAGGGTCTCTGAAATGCTGTGTTGCTTTAACGTTCTCTGCCAACATGTACACAGATACCAATGGAATGGAGGAACAGGAAAAGGAGAAGAGGCGTCTGGTGATAGAGAAGTTCCAGAAAGCACCTTTTGAAGAAATAGCAGCACAGTGTGAATCCAAAGTGAGTGGATAAATGCTGAAGGGGCAGGGGCGGGCTGTGACTCGGAGGAAACTTTCTTGGTAACTGGTTGGTAGGTTCCATGTTTAGACAGCTCAACAGAAGACAAGGTGATGGATCATATAGGGACTGAGACCTCAATGCATAGACAGCTGTGAAGCTCAACAGTGTCTTAGTGTCCTGGAAGCTGGTGGAAATGAGAGATCCCAAGCTGCACGTTGATTGATGTGACTTTGATACTATTTTTGCAGTGGTTTTCAATGCTTTTGCAGTGGGTAATTTTGTGTATCTATAGGTTTGTTTTTACCAGTGAAACTAGGAAAGGAATAAAAGAAAAACTATTATTATATGAGACAAACAAAACCAAAATGTTACAGCATTCTGTACCATCAGCTTCATAGTTACAGTTACGCTGTCTTTTAAATTGCCTTTGTATTATTACATATGGGTATTTGGAAAACAGGAAATGCATCCTTAACATTTTTTTTTCTTTTATAGGCTAATTTGCTTCATGATAGACTTGCTCAAATACTGGAACTCACCATACGGTAAGGGTTGTTACTACAACGGCAATACAACAACAGAATAGGAACTGTTGGCCCCTATAAATTCGTAGCTGATTGTGTTTAAGTAATTATGTTTTTCATTTAGGATAAATAAGCGGTCATACAGATACCTTTGTCTTAGCAGTCATTGAGTTCGCTAGCCAGTCTGTGGCCATTTCTTGTCCAGGTGCCCTCTGGCTTTTCTAGTTGTCCTAAAGGACAGCGGTGCTTTGGAAGACTTGACTCTAATGATATGTTGAAGCAGGAACATTTCTCCTCCGTTTCTCACCTGCGGGGGCGATAGCAGCTAGGATGCTCTGTGCCGGGAAGCGCATCTAAGTGCACTGTTGACGATGCCCTTCTTCTCTTCCAGTCCTCCTCCCAGCCCATCGGGAACACTGACCATTACTTCTGGGCATGCCCAGTACCAGTCTGTCCCCGTCTATGAGATGAAGTTTCCTGACCTATGTGTGTACTGAGTGGCTCAGGAAGACCTCAGCATAGAATGTCAAAGCCTGGGAATTCAGGCCGGGCTCTTTACTTTACGTCTGTTAACATACTTCTTGAAAACAACGGTGGAACTTAACATTTGACCAAATGCTTGTTATACCATGCTAGAAAATTTGAAACTATATGTGATCTCAAGTACTTTTGGAGATAGATTTATGCCATATTGATTGCTTTTGAGGTTCTCATTGGCTTTAAGGTGGAGCATGCATTGGTCTCAACATTATTTCATTGTTAAACAGTATATTTTAAACTTTTCTCAAATATGTTTTTTTTTTTTTTAATTAGGCCTTCGAGGGTTGAAAGTTATATGAAGTGTCTCTTGTATTTCTTAAACATCTACACAACTGTTTAAGTAGAATTTTTTGCTTTAGCTTTGGTTATCTGCAAAAGCAAAAACATCCGCGTATATCTAGTCCTGGGCTGCCGGTTGCCCTGTGGCTTTTGTCCCTGTGTTTCAGATGTTGCGATGGGTGTCCCTTCATTCAGTTACCATGATACGTACGATAGGCGTTCCTCCGCTTGTTTATAGTGTTGTTTGTTGAATAATATTTCTATACTTTGGCCCTAAAATCAGTCGCTGTTCTTTAAAGTGTCTGGTTCTTGTAATACTGTATTTTCTGCCGGGAGTTTGATCATTCTATATGAGAGGCTTAAAGCTTGCTCTCCAGATACCGAACTGTGCAATATTTTTTACATCATAAGATGTATTAGTTTACAGACTGTGCTTTGAAATTATAGTTGTATTTTGCTGTGGCTCGATTAATTAAATGATATATATATATATATATATTTAGTATAAAAAGTCATTTAAAACAGCTACTAGTTCACCTGTGAAGAGCACACATTTTGATTTTTTATTAAGAGCACATTAATTTACATTTTTATATTGTTCATTGTTTTTAATCATCATAGTCAGAAAATTACCAAAATAGACTAATTTGTAGGATTCAAACTGTAGGTTATATGCATTTGTGTTTGGGGTTTGTTATATTCCATTTGTGTTTAGGGTTTGTTATATTCCATTTAAAGGGTGCCTATGGTTTTAGCAATCAAGTGTGCTAAGGATTGTCAGTGTAAGCTTCTGTCGGTTTAAGCCGCCAAGATGATGTGTACTCACACTCACCTACCGATCGACCCATGGTGTCGTCTTAAAGCCACATTTCAGTGAGTCCACTGCACGGCAAAATGAACAATTGTCTTTGCAAGTCTTACAACATCCTCCTAGGACGTTTTTATAACATAACCTGTTTATAGTTCTGCCTTTTTTTAATTTCTTTTTACATAAAAATGTACCTATTAAAAATTGGAGCTGAAAAATCAGTTTTGGTTTTGGCTTTTTGTAAAATTGTAGTGAAGAGCTGCATGCTACACCTTTGGTTTATGATTATCTGGGCACAAGTAGTAGAAACAGAAAAAGTAAAGAAGCATGCTCAAGTTGTTTTCAGTATATGAACCAAAGTACATTGTCGTAAAGCACCTTGTAAGAGAGAGAAGGCATTGACCCTCTACGACGACACTCGCCGTCCTGTAGGACGTGTCCTGAAGAAGCCCTGGTTTTTGCGTAGCAGTGCGGTCACCTGGTCACCTAGGGGGTCATGACCGATAGCAGCTGTCACTGTATTTGCCTCTTGATCAGCTAAAATGGGTCACCATTTAAGAAGCCAAATTGTGTGTCTTTTTAATTTTCTTTTTTTCTTCTGTATTTTTAAAGCAGGGTATTCATTGTTGACAGTGCGTTTGAAAGTCAGAGCAGGGGGACATGCAGAAGCAGCCCCCAGCCACTCAGGTGTCACTTTATAGATGAGCACTGTGTGCTTCTGTGTGGAAGCATGTTGTGTGAGTGTCTAAGGAAGGAGGACATGTACTCCTTTGCACTCCTGCTCCAAAGATTCCAGGTCTCGGCGTGGTCGGGGCATGTTGCATGGACAGGACAGCCACTTCGCTCATGCTTATTGCCTCCTGCTGGTCTGTCAGCGGTGCGCTGGGCTCTGTGGGGGCTTTGCTTGGTTTGTAATCACAGTAGACTCTGTGTACCCTCGGTAGTGAGCTGGTCTTGTTGCCGAGGATGCCCAGAAGTGGTCTGCCCTTGGCCTGTGCCTTCCAGGAGGGCCTGCAGGGAGTGGGGGCGTACCGTCTGTAGCTGGGTGTGGCAGCGAGCGGCATTGGTGGAGGGCACTGCGTGGCTATATTTTTGTAGATACTGAAATTTCTTATAAGCTGTTACCACTTTCTTTTTTGCTGTAGACAGTTGCTTATGTCATATTTCCTTGACATTGAATAGTTAACATTTAAATGTTCCTCCTATGCTTGTGTTGTCTTTGATTGTTCAGAGTTGGTTTCATTGACGTTAGCCAGAACACACGTGTGTGCGCGCGCACACACACACACACACAGGCACACACACACATACAGGCACACACACAGAGGCACATACACTGGGACACACAGGCAGGCACAGACACATGCACACACACCCTTAATACTTCTGGCTCTGTTCTCTTTACAGTAATGCCATACTTTTACCAGCGGTTACTTCCGCCTCAGAATATCCCTTCTCTTCCTGTCTGAAAATGGAACTCGTTTGTCTTATTCATGGCAATGTATGTCATAAATGTAACGAAGTGAGCTTTTTGAAATGTAAAAATCCACTCTGCAATTCATATGTAAGCAATAAAACAAAATCAAAATATTTGTGCCTAAGTACATTTTTATAATAGCTATTTTTACATTTACTAAATACATTTATTCAATATCTTGCTGTAGTTGAAATGAGAATTTTTAGTGAAAATCAGGTTGCCGAGTGGATTCCTCCTCACACCCGTGGGAGTCTCAGACCCTGAGTGAAGGCTGGGTGTGGGGACTGGTGGCCAAGGTGAAGGTCACCTGTGAGTGGTGTGAGCTGCTGCTCTGCCAGGACTTCGGGTTCCTTTTCAGCCCCGCCTCGTTGCCGCATGAATTCCTGGGGGCCTGCCTGCAAGCCAGCAGCTCCTCTGGGACCTCCCCACCCTGCCGGCCTCAGACTGACCAGGCGGCAGGGAGGCGGGCTCTGGGCTGGAAGCCGCCCTACACTGCCGCCTAAGGGCTTAGGCCAGTGACTGCACTTGGGGCTTTGAATCCTCACCTGGGACATGATGGGGAGTAAGTCCCACCCTAGGGTATCTGTGAGGAGGAGGGAACCACTCAGCGAGGGCATGTGTGTCCATTGCTGCTGCTCCTCCAGCTGGCAGACCGCCTGAGCCCCTGGTGGCTGCCCCGTGGACTTAGGCCAGTCACCACCCCTCCCCCCAAATCGGAGCCTGCTCTTTAGATGTGAGATGAGCAGTCGGTATGGTTTGCTGTCTCGTGCTTTCTTTCCAGCTTTAACTTGTTGGATCCTGTTACTAGTCTGACGTCTGACTAAATTACTAGTCTCAAGTACCAAGTTCACATGAATGAAAAGCAGGAAAGCGAGCACCAAAGTCGGCTTGTTTTCTGTTTGCCTTTGACTTGCACTTTGAGTCAGAGGCGGACTGTAGGGGCCCTGTCCTGATCTGGGGTCTCCTACAGCAGAGCCGAAGCCGGGCTCAGGGGCAGGGGTTTCTCTGGGCGTGATCCCAGGAACCTCTGGCCTGGGGAAGGGGCTGGTGAAGAGGATCGTCGGTGACTTGGCCATCACTGGGTGACGGCAGAGCCAGCCTCCGCGACAGTCTAAGGCGTCTCAGGAGGCGGCAGGGAAGCGTGTAGCCTTTGGCTTCCACTCATGGTCAAGGCCCCGTTGGCATGAACTCCCCCGCATTCTGGATTGTGTGCGCCCGACGCCTCATCAGAGAAGTCCCGGGCCAGCAGGTAGGAGGTGTGGCGGGCCGTGTCAGACCCCACCGCCCAGTGTGGAGGTCAGAGTCCCGGGACCGGGGTGTCACCGCAGTGTCTGGAGCAAGAGGTGGGCCAGATGGTACGGAGCTGGCAAAAGTCGTCCAGCGTGGCACCACCTCGATACCTAAGGACGGGACTAAACGTGGAAGCATGAGGCTATCATTTCCAGTAACCCCCGTCTTGCTTAATGGGTCAGTGACGGGTTTTTAAAGATGTGATGCCTTTTGCCTGATACAGAATAAATCTCAACTAGTCGGTGGGTGGGTCTAGTTCAGTTTTCTACAGAATCTGCGTGTGTCAAGAGTGGCATTTCATCCCTGACCTTCCAGCCGCTGGGATGAACCCTCATTAGTGAAAGCAAGTCCAGGACCAAGCCGGGGTGAGTGGCGATTCTTCTTCGTGGGGCGGAGGGAGAGTCTGTGCCCGCTCCTAGAAGGTAGGTGTGTGTGCAGGGCCGGACCAAAGAGCTGCCACCTCAGCCCTTGGCAGAGGACACCATCTGTGAGTTATTGATGACTCATAGATGGCTGACTGCATACACTCCCTTCTGTTTTCTTAGTAGAAGGAAATTAGCTTCCAATGATGAGAGAACAGATTCCCTCTCTCCTCCCCCCCCCTCATTGTCTATCCTCTCACCTTTGCAATCTACTAGTGTTCATGCACCAACATCTACTTTTCTTAAAAACACAAACCAAGAGGAGCAGAAGCTCTGATTGCGTATTTATTGCATCTCCATCTGTGTCGCAGGAAGTGTGGTGCCCCCTGCGCTGCCTCCTGCAGGGGGCGCGCTCAGGTGAGCGGCGGGCACCAGGCCTCTCCCCAGCCTCTGCTCAGATGACGACCCAGAGGCGGCTCAGGCCCACGACGCCCGGAGCAGGTGTGCTGCCTGTCATTTCTCCGGGGCTCTGTCTGGGGCCAGGGTGTGGCTGGCCCCCACGGGACCAGGTGACCTCCCCAGAAACCTCCTGGTTCTCCCGTGTGCGGCGGGGGGCAGCGCCTCCTCGCTGTTCTCCTCGGAGCTGGAGCCCAGGGAGGGCGCAGAGAGCACTCCTTGCCCGCCGTCCTCGCAGGGGTGTGGGGGGCCCTGGCACTCCGGGCTGCCTGGCGACGCGAGGCTCTGGTTGAAGAAGGCCGACGCCATGCACTCGGCCGCCGTCTGCTCACAGGCACAGAGCAGCTGCTCGCACAGGCTCCGGCCCACACCTGTGAAGGCGAGAGCAGGGGAGCAGCCTGAGCCATGGGCCCCGGAGCTGGAGCCCCGTGGCCTCAGCCCCCTCTTGAGCCTCTGGGCAACCAGCCAGCGGATCACGACAGTAGGACTCTGATCTGTCCCCTGTGGGCTCTCAACCCTCCCTCAGGCCCTGGTCCACTTCAGGCCAGAATGTCAGTGTTTCGGTCTGCGTTCCTGATCTCCCCTGCCTGTTATCCCCCTGCCTCACCTTCCCCCTCAGCTGTCCCCACCCTCTCTCTCTGCTGGCCAGACAGAGCCATATGTCGACCCTACGCTGCCAGGAGCCCCCAAAATGCCTCGGTTTCCTTTCCCTTTTCTTGGAACATCCACACCAGCACGGCCTTCGGAAGCCTGAGCTCTCACCTCACTGCTCTCCTGACTTCTCCATCCTCCCTGCCAGACCCCGCAGGCCTGCCTCCTGTCAGCAGTGTGACGTGAGGGGAGGGATCACTGACTTGTCTCTCTTTCCCCCAGGCTCTGAGGGACTTGAGGCAGGGGTCCTGCATGATCTCTGGGTCCCAGTTCCCGAGGAAGGGTTGCTGAGTAGAAAATTGAAGGGAGGGAGGGAGCTCCTGGGAAGGGAGAGGCACGCATGATCCTACAAGGAGGTGCGTGCAGAGGAAGGAGGGGAGGGGACTTGGGGCCCCCAGAGGCTTCCCCAGGAAAGTGCAGGCGAGAGCCAGCCCCCGTCCAGCTCTTGTGCAATGCAAGAGGAGCCGCTCCTTTTCAGCTGCAAAGCACCTGGGAAATGCATCCACTCATGTGGATGAGGAAACGGAGCCAGAGAGTGCCGACAAGCCAGTGCTGACGCCTCGCTCTGCTGTAAGAGTGATGCTGGGAGCAGGGGTAGGGGGGGTGGCAGTTCCCAGCCATCCCACCTGAGGCCCTGACCGCCACAGAGGCGCTCCCAGCCTCCAGGAGAGAGAGGAGCTGCAGCCCGCCATGCCCCTGAGCCACGGACACCATCCTGACGGGGCCCCCGGAGAATGTCACCAGGAAAGACTCTGCTGCTTAGAGAGGAGGCCACTGTCTGGTGGAGACAGCTGGAGGTCTGAGGCAGTGGGGTCCTGCGTCCCAATGCAGCCCAGCACTGCCTGCCTGTGTGACCTTGGACCTCGGCCCCACCTCTGTGACCTGGGGAGCCAGCCTTCTGGTGCTCTGGCCTGGACGGCTGTGAGGATGAACTCGCGCACACAGCAGGAGCTGGGAGCGGATGGCACACGGTGAGCATGCAATGCGCATGCTTTGTAACGGTCCCATGTGCACCCACCAGCCCCCACGTGGCCTCTGACCTGGAGTCTCCTCAGCGGACTAAGGGTCTAGCATGTGCTTGGCAGTGAAGACGTGTTAGGCCCGTGATGGGTGAAGTGCTGGGAGAGCGTCTACACCCGAGTGTGGACGTGACGCTGTGCCGGGTGGAAGGACGACCCCCGGAGAGGCCCTCACACTCACACTTGGGGGCGCCATCCGCACACACCACCGGCGGCCGAGGCAGCCTCCCGCGCCGGCAGCCCAGCCTCCGCACCTGCTGCAGGCAGCACCGGTGGGACCAGCAGCACCTGCAACCAAGGAGGAGCCTTCACTGCTGGCTCCCAGCCGCCCCGGGACCCCCCAGGGCCTCCTTCCCGTGTGCACGGCTGGTTTCTGCACGCCAAGTGCATCACATGTGCTGGCTCCAGCTGCACCCCGCACAAGAACCTAATGTGAAAATCCAGTTCCCAGAAGGTAAACGCTGAGCAGCTGATTTCAGCGCGGCCTCTGGCCCAGCGCATCACTGAGACCCACCCTGTCGCTCATCACAAATGTCCTGCAGCGTGACCTCAGGTGGCTGGTCTGTCAGGCTCTGCCCCTTCGTGGGCAGATGACCTCCGATGAGGCCGAGCCTCAGCCGCTCACCCGGAAAATGGGCCCGTGACATACGAGCCACCCGAGGGAGGCAAGGCGGGCAGCGAGCTCTCGGTGGACCGAGTGACGGCCCAGGAGGAGGGGGCTCTCGCCTCCCCCGGCAGGCAGCGCCGATGCCATTGCCGCCATCGTGGAGCACCTACCTGTCCAGCGCGTCCCTGGGTTCGCCGCGTCCTTCTTGCCCACAGTAGCAGCCGTAAGAGTCGAACTCCTCGGGGCACCGGGCGGTCAGGCAGAAGAGCATCTGTCCCAGCTGCAGCGTTACCCAGGTGTCCTCCCCCGCGCCCCGGGGCAGGCCGGCGGACCTGGCACAGGCTGGGAGAGAGGAGGACTCGGGCAGCCAGAGTGCCAGCGTAGCCTTCCCAGGAGGGCTCCCCGAGGCCGCAGCTGTGCCAGGAGCCTGCGTCCTCTGCCCCTCCCCTCTCCCGGAGACTGTCCTGTGCCCAGGCCCTGTCTGGGACCGTCGTCTCAGTAGTCTTTCTCGCCGGCTCTGCTGGCCCAGGTTCCCCGTTACCCTCCCTCCCCTCACCCCCCTCCCTCGGTGCGGGGGCTCGTCAGGACTGCAAATGCTCTTGGGCCGATTTACTACTGAGCAGGACCCAGCAGCCCGGCACCCAGCTGTCCTCGGAGGTCGGCTGGCTTCGCAGGTCAGCACGCCTATGGGCTTGTCTCTCACATCTTGGTTTTCTGTCTCTATTTCTGCATCTCTCTCCCCACCCTGCTCTCCCTCCTATAACTGTGCAGATCCCAACCTTCATAGTCCAGGCGGGAAGCACTAAGAAGGCCCATCCCCCTCTCCCCACATGCAGCTGCTGGCCCAGCCCTGCATGGCGCACTGGGAGGCAGGGCCAGCGCCGCCTCTGGGTACTGCTGCCCGGAGCTCTCGCAGGTGCAGGGCCTTCCGGATGCACCTGAGGGCGGAGAGCCCGGGCGGAGGATACTAAGGCCCAAGTGTTTCCTTCTTTCCAGGAAACGGCATGGACGGTGCTGTGAGCGCTGGGCCGGGCCTGTCATTTCCAGCTCTGCCCCCAGCCCTGGGTGCCTGCAGGCCAGTCAGCGCACCCTCTCCCCGTCTCGTCTGCACCTTCCCGTCACAGCGACATGCCAAGGCAGTGTGGCAAGGGGCCTTGTTAACCTCCTAGCCAGAGGCACTCAGGCCGGACGGGGACAGGCTCCTCTCTGCCTGCGGCTCACCTTTCCCAGTCGTCTCCTCAGGACGGCTTCTGACGGATGGCCCGGCCAGCCCCAAAGATGTCATGCCGCCGGGGACCACGGCCACACCTCCAGCTGTGGCAGCAATCTCTGCGGACCCTGAAAATGCACAACTTGACCGTGTCCAAGAGGGATCCGAGGAGAGATTTGCAGATGGGAACCAGGTCAGGGCCGAAGGCAGACATATTTGGGAACGAAGCACCAGGCTGGGCTTGTGTCAAAACTGTGTCTCGGGGACCCGGGAATGCTGCATGGACCCCCAGAGTCCAGTGATAACCTTGAACCTGACAGGGTCCTGGCTAGACCCTCTGGGTGACATCTGGTGGGTGAGAACTGCCACCCTCAGGCCTACCTTTGTGTCATATCCACGCCCATGCGTCGGCTCAGTGAAGTCCCATCACAGTGCCCACAAGTGAAGGAACAAGAATGATGGGGAGATTGATCCGATACCACAGTCACAATCACATAGGCAAGCAACACCGTTCAAACCCTTAGCACACTGCAGCAGCTTCCGGCCACGCTCGGTTAGGTGTGCATCTGCACCGGGCCAGCAGGGCCCTGCTCCCTCACAGGCTCCCTGGCACCGTCTGGTCCCCTGCCTCAGGGTCAGTCGGCACCACCTGCCCTCTCAGCTGGAGGCAGCCGGGTCTCCATCCCACAGCCACCGTCTGCTGCCCAGCTCCGTACCCAGCACTGGGTGAGGCCTGGGCATCGTCATAGGTACGCTTGGGGGGACTGCAAGAAAGCATCTTCAGGTATAAAAGTGCTCCCTCTGCAGTGCGAGGTTGCGGCTGGTGTGAATGGAAATGAGATGGCGCTCTCTCTTTCTCTTTTGCATCTTATATCTAGGTGAGTTTCCCTTTCTTTCCATGAGTGGATCAGCCTCTTCCTTCCATCTGTCTGCTCCGTAGGGCTCCACAAGCAAACTGGCTCCCTGCCTTCTTCCCCCTGGAGTTTGGTATCCTTTCTCCGGCTCTCGGGGACACAGCTGATCTAATGGGTGTGTGGGGGCAGCAACTGGTCAAAGGTGGCGGCAGCGGAGCGCGCTTACCCGCAGGGGTTGTGGTCCTCTCGGCTTCCGTGCCCTCCTGGTCTTGGAGCGGTTCTGCTCCTGAGAGAGAGAGAGAGACAGGTAAGTGTCAGTCCCAGCCTGCCCACCTGCTCCCTCAGGCAGCTCCCCCCACCGGGCACCGGAGGCCATGTGGTCTTGGCTCTGCCCCTCCCCGGCCGCCTCCCCGGACAGCTGGTGTTGGTGGGGTCACTGCTGGGAGCCAAAAAGAGACCCCAGCTTCACCATCCACACACACACACACCCCAGGCTTGCTGGGAAACTCAACTGCAGGTGGGTCTGTTATAATGATTTCCTCTGGGCTCTATCAAAAAGTGGCCACCGACCTGAGCACGAGTATTTATTTGGGTGGCATTTCTCCAGTTGGTTCTATTCTGTCCTCTGAAGGCCCCTCTGCTTACTTGTCCCGGAGAGAGTGGTCAGCTGACTCGTCCTAGGGAGTGTGGTCAGCTGGTCAGCTCTGGTATCAGCAGACACTGTGAAGAGAGACCAACCAATTATCAGCTGTTCCCCTTCAGTGGATGAGGGGCCAGAGTGGAGTCAGTCCTGTGTTCAGGCCAAGAAACCAGCGAAAGGGAGAAAGAGCCGGTATTGGCCCTGATGGATCAGTCCTTGAGGAAAGGCAGCCTGAGAGGGAGTTGATTCCAGAAGCCAGGAAAGACCCACTGGAGGCTTCTCGAATCCCAGCCCTCCCACTCAGCTCTATGTCCTGGCCACCTTCCTTCTCCATCTCAATTTACCATCGCAACGTGAAGATTACAGCAGGGACTTCATAAAGCTGTGTGAGCACTAAGGGGATTAAACATTTCAAGCAAGCCGTCTAGTGTCCTGTGATTTGATGGTATGTGCTGATTTTTAAAGTTCCACTAGAATTTCTAGAAGATGCCAGCCCAGAATCTTCCCACCCTGTCATGTGATCCTCTGTCACCAATGAAGTTGGGTATAATCATCCCTTTTCAGGGGTGGGCAAACTAGAGGCTGGCCCTTGACCTGTTTTTGTAAATAAAGTTTTATTGGCACACAGGCACAGCCATGCAGTGATGGATTGTCTACGGCTGCTTTCCTGCTACAGTGGCAGAGTTGAGTCGCTGTAGCAGAGATCCTGTATGGAAAACATTTACTATCTGGCTCTTTCCCGAAAGTTTGCTGAACCCTGCTTTGTGCAAAGGTGCGGAGGTTGCACCACGCTCCCAGAGTCACACAGCTGAAAGCAGAGAGGCAGGATTCCATCCCCCATCCACCCGACTCCAACACATCATCGCTTCATCGTGGGATGGAGCCCACACTTCCTCCCCTGCTGTCCCACCTGTTCCCGTTCTGAGGGGAGGGCATTGAGGCAGGTAGTCCAAGGCTGCAATGGAAATGAGGGCATTGGAGCCGCACGGCTGGCCCTCCGACTCACCTTCCCCTGAGAGGGCCACCAGGCTGGCGTCTGTGGGCTCCGCAGGTTCCGCTGGAAAAGAGCCCCAGCGGCCATGAGTGACGGACGGACACCTTGTCCACACCACCTCCCAGGGTCTCCGCCCACAACGGGCAGGGCGGGGACTGCGGGGCCCAGGGAGGAGGGGCTGCTCCTCCGCCTGAGGGTCCCCGCCTCCACCTCCCAGAACACAGGGTGCCACCCAGGCCCCAGCTCAGAGGGAGTCCCGAGGCTCTGGGTTCTGGAGAGGGTGACACTGGAGCACAGGGCTGCCGAGCCCGAAGGCCTGGCTGTGGAGTGTGGTGTCCGCTGTTCCAAGTGGAGGCAGGTGCAGAGGGAAAAGACCGCTGGGCTTGGGAGACCTGGAGATGCAACCCACACCCCACACACATGCCCCTGCCTACACGCATGCACAAACCACATCACGTATGTACACCCAGAAACCCACCACCCACACCAGCTCCCTCTAAGCACTGCAGGACTGCGTCTGGGAGCCCCCACAGAGGGATGCTCAGTGGAAGGGCACCTTGACCTTCCCACCCCCGGGCACCCATGCTGTTGGGGCTGGGAGAGCGTAGGAACTTTGGTGAACATATAACAGGTGCCTCCATCGGCTCCGTTAGTCGTCCGGCCCCTCAAGTCCGAGGAGCAGCCACCTCCCTCGGAGGCCTGACCTCTGGGCAGGAGGCTCGGGCCGTCTCTGCAGAGGAACCCTCCCGAGCAGCGGGTGTGGGATGTGAGGTGCTGGACTTGGCACCTGAAGACACGGGCACCCCCACCAGCTCCTGGCCCCCGCCAGCCCACCACAGCGCAGGGCCAGGTGCTCCTACCCGCTGGTGGCGCCAGGCAGAAGGCGGTGTCCAGCAGGCTCAGGGAGGAGTTGATGGTGGACTGGGCCAGGCACTCGATGGCAGCCTTGTCGCAGGTGCACAGCAGGTGCTCACAAGGGTCCCTGGACTCTGCACAGACCAAGGGCAGAGCCCCTTGGAGTCCCACGAGGCCATGCAGACGCCACAGCTGAGCTCCCTGGAAGCGTCCTCCATCTCCTTGGGGTATGAGTCCGTCTGGGCCCACGCGCCCTCCTGCACTCACACCCCAGCCATCGGGCCGTCTGATGGGCTCTGCTTTCCATAAAACTCTTTAGAGTCAGCCCATGTCTCCCCATCTCCGCCTCGCTGTCCTGGGCCATCCCTTCCCTCTCCCATGGGCTGCATGGGTGGCCTGCTGACCCCCTCCCTGCCTCTGCCAGGCTGGGCATCTACAATCCTTTGAAAACTCAGGTCACACCATCACCACGTCTGTGCTTGTGCTCGAACCCTCCCAACTCAAAGTCAAAGCCACGGACCCGCTCCCTCTCTGACCTCCTCTCCTGCCTCACCCCAGTTCTGACCCACTGGCCTCCTTTCCTCAAGCACCAGGCCCCTCGAGCCTCAGGGCCCAGGTGCTGTTACGTCCATACGCATGGCTCTTCTCCCGGATGCGCCTCGCCAAATGGTCCCCTCCACCCAGCCCCCAGGCCCCAGGCGATGCTCACCACACGTGACCTTCTTGATGACGCAGTTGACATCTGTGCTGACCTTGGTGGCGTCTTGGATACAGTCCATCTCGGCAGCCTCCTCGTGGCACCTGCGGTGCTGGAAGCAGCAGCTGGGGGTGGGGGAGGGTCAGGTGAGAGTGGGGGGGGGGGAGGGTCAGGAGGGAGGCAGGCAGCCTGCCATCACCCCGTGCCTCCTGCTGGTCCCAGTGGGGTCTGACTCAGACATTGGGGTGCTCACACACACACACACACAAAATATCAGAAGTATGTTGCCTGTGCAGCAGGTGCTGCTCTCATCAGGAACCTTTGCGTTTGTGCGGACTGAGATGTGGGCTCTGTAACTTGCCAAGGTCAAGGCCGACCACAGCCTCGCTGAGACTCGGTGTGGCCGGGTGGCACTGGCACACAGGACATCAGTGGGAAAAGGGAAAACTATACAGGCAGCAGGTGGCCTTGGGCAAGTTACCAAGTCCCTGACAACGTAAGGATTTGGGGGATTCCAGAAGTATCCATAGGGATCCCACCATGCATCAGGCCCTCCGTAAGCAGTAGCAGTTATTTCTGCAACCTGCCCTCCAGGAGCCCGGAACCCCGTCCCCGTCAGCTGAACGGTGTAGGTAATTGGAGCTGAGCGGGACCCAGAATTCTGCCGGTTCCTCGCCCTCGTGCTTGGATCATCCTTTCTGGGCCGGAGACAGTGATGAATTACCGCTTCACTTCCTTGACTTCCAGGTTTGAAGGGTGTTAATCACTGAAGCGCCACAGGAGGGCCCGAAAGGAAAGTGTTCCCAGAAATGGCCCTGGCACCGCACCGGGCAAAACCAGCCTCCCCTCCTGAAACTGCCTTTTGGTCCAGAGTGACCTGCACCCTCTCGTGGAGATTTGAAGATGGGACAGTCTGTTTTAATCCCAAAGCCACTAGTCCTTGTCGATCAAGGACACAGCGCTTTCTAATCAATTCGCTTCTCATCTCTGAAAAGCAATGGGGGAAGCTGGCCACCTCATCATCGGTTAATTTATGAGCCCCACATGCCAGGGGCTGCGGGTACAGATAACCGTGCCTGAGCAGACCCTGCCTCTCATGGGCACTTCTACTCACTCCCATTCCCACCAGGCTGCCCCCTCTCTGAGGCAGGGGGGTGTCTGTCTATGTTAAGCACAGAGGTCACGTAGGTGGTTGCCACATGTCTGTGAAACTGGACAGAAGCCTTCATCGTCTTCACCCCTGGCGGCCAGAACACTCCTGAATTAAAGGATTCTCACGTTCTATGCAGAAGAGCCCTGGGCGGCTGGTTAAACCCAGCTCCGGGTTCTAGCTCCGGGTGCCCCGTGGGCAGGGCGGGTGGGCCGCTGGGCTCTGCCTGTGAGCAGGCAGCCAGGTGGCTCTGGAGCCGGGGACCCACACGATGAGAACGGAAAGGAAAGGTTTGCCTACGGGCCTGACACAGGCTCTTGGTAAGGCCCTCGGACGCCAGCGGAACACAGATGAACCATGACTTGAAGAGGAGGAAGCAGTCTCCCCGCGGTGAGGCCCAGAACCAGACACCACCCGGCCCGTCCAAGGAGCTGCCTGGGTGTGCGCTCGGCCCAGTCCCAGCCGGGCTGCCCGGCTCCGGCTCCCGCTCACCGGTCAGACTCGTCCACGGGCAGCCCTTCCATCTCGAAGCGGCAGGCGCAGCCGTAGTCCTCCAGGTCCCGGGGGCAGAGGCCGGCCACGCAGCGCAGGCCGCTCACGAACTGCAGCAGCGCCGGGAAGTTGGTGAAGACGGCCTGCAGCCAGGTGAAGTGGGAGCCCAGGCAGTCTGCGGGGGAGAGGGCAGGGCAGGCAGGAGCAGCATCCAGGAGGAGCCGCCGGGACCGCCTGCCGCTGGCACCCCCTGTGTCTCCTCAACCTGCGAGCACCTGTGAGGACTCGGCACTGTAGTCGGCTTTAAAGTGAAGCAGGCTAGCCGAAACCGGTTTGGCTCAGTGGATAGAGCAACGGCCTACGGACTCAAAAGGTCCCCCCAGGTTGGATTCTAGTCAAGGGCATGTACCTTGGTTGTGGGTGGGTCATCCCCCAGTTGGGGGTGTGCAAGAGGCAGCTGATGTATATTTCTAACTCTCTATCCCTCTCTCTTCCTCTCTGTAAAAAATCAATAAAATATATATTTTTAAAAAATAATAAAGTGAAGCAGGCTGATAACCCGGGGTCCTGTGGCTGCCCACCTCGCAGCCTCTATCCCTTCTTCCTCTCCAGCAGAACAGCCTTCTCCCTGGTCCCTGCAAGGTCACATGGTCACTCTCCGCTGGCCGTGGGCATCCCAGGCTTCCAGGTGGGCTGGGGCTGAGCGTGGAGCCCCGATCTGGCCCAAACAACGTCAGGGAAGCCTGTTAGAGGCGTGGGTTGTGGGCTCCATCCCAAGTGGGGGGCGTGCAGGAGGCAGCTAGCTGATCAATGACTCTCTCATCATTGATATGATTGTTTCTATCCCTCTTCCTCTCGGAAATCAATAAGAATGAATATTTTAAAAAATGCTTTTGCAAACAAAATTGGCAAGAAAATGGTGTCCAGTGCTTTGGCTCTAAACCTCATGCCCACCCCCTCTCCAGTGGCATTCTGACAGCAGGACCGTTAAGGGCTAAGGGGGTGACCGCACCACACTGAAGTGCAGGGGTTACACCAGGGAGCGGGGGGAGGGGGGGGATCTAGAGTTCCCATAAGGACCAATTCCACCCAACTGTTCCACTGCCTCCTACCTCACTGAGTCGCCCTCCCGTGTTTCATTTCCGCCCGCCCTCATCATGGACATGAAGAAATAGAACACCCTCCGCGATGAAGATACATTGAAAAAAGCATGAAGAAATGATTCTGTGCTGATGGAAAAGCCACTCTAAGATTGTGTGGCCCAGCTGGTGTGGCTCAGTGGTTGAGTATCGACCCAGGAACCAGGACGTCTGTCGCAGGTTCCATTCCCGGTGGTTAGGGCACGTGTCTGGGTTTCGGGCTTGATACCGAGTAGGGGGCATGCAGGAAGCAGCCAATCAATGATTCTCTCTCCTCATTGCTGTCTCTCTCTCTCTCCCCCTCCCTTCTTCTCTAAAAATAAATAAAAACATGAAAAAAAAAAAAAAAAAAAGAAAGAAAGAAAGGTGTGTGTGTGTCCACATGAACTTATTTAACAGCCTACAGGGCGCCTGTGCTCGGTCACATGCTCTGGCAGGCACAGCCTCACACCCAGCGCCAGCCCAGCAGCTCTCAGCAGCTCTGCCGGGTCCACCACAGGGTCATCTGAAGTTTAGTCGTTTTAGTGATCAGTGATCGGAACCACTGCGATGATTGACAGCTGCCTGATAGCTGTGTTGCTGATAAATGGAATGCTAGACGGGACTGGGGAGGAGGAGACTCAGCTCTGGACCGAGGAGGACGCCCAGCCTTGTGGCCTTGGACAAGTCACTGAACTTCCTTAGACTCAGTTTCCTCTCCTGCAATACGGGCCCCCCCTTCACCTCCTGGACAGGCTGAGTCAGAACCGACCTCTGAGGCTCAGCACCTGGTCCCACCGCGGGGAGCTCCTAGGAGCCCCAAGGGTGGAGACCAAGGTCATGTCCTTTGATTCCCACACACACGTGTGCTCTGACACTGGGGCGGGGCGGGGAGGGGCGACACGCCATTTCAGATGGGACTTACCGAAAATCTCGGTCGCACTCTCCACGTTTTTGAACATCCCATCGAAGAAGGTGGCATCTGAGTGGAAGGAAGAGAAACATGAGGATGGGGCCGTGGTTTCTCCCCGTCCCTGTCCGGGCCCTGGGTGAAGAGCAGCTAAAACCCTTTCTTTCTCTGAAGATTTGACCTGGGGCTAACTTCTAGGAACACGAGTTGTCATGGAGACCTGATGGGATGAAACGGGATCTCTGTTACTAGGCAACATTGCTCAATGACTTAACTACAACAGCAAAAGGCCCCTGGATGGGAGGGGACACCCGGACTGGTGGGAGCGATGGATGGACTGTAAGCAGCCGGGGCCTGGCTCCTGCCACAGGCCTGTCCCTCAGGGCACCTAGAAGTGGGCGCCAGGCGGCTGGCATGAGAGGCACAGACTCCTATGGAGAGCGAAGCTTCTAGGCAGAGGGCCCCAGCTGCTCCACCTGCACCCAGGCCCCGCCCCAAGCTGTCCCTGGGCTCCTGGACTTGCTGTCACTGCAGGGCTGCTGGCTCACTGCTTCCCAGCCGCGACCCTCCTGAGGGCCAGGGTGGCCTGGGAGTGTGACAGTCTACCTCACCCCTCCCGGTGGGCACAGCACTGCCCATGGAGACCATGCCGTGCGGAGGGAGGCCATTGTCATGGGCTCTGGGTGGGACTCATCACTTCGATTGCAGGGGATCACACACACACACACACACACACACACACACACATACACACACACAACCCGGGGACTTCCCCCCGCAAGGTGGGAGGGAGCCTCCTGTCCAGCCAGCATCAGCCAGCTCTCTGCCCTCCTCCTCAGCCAGGGCCACAGGAGCACCTCCTGAGACGTCGTCACCCAGGAAACAGACATGTGTGGGTCCTCCCCCGGGAATGTATGGACCCTGCGGTCCCCGTGAGGCATCATCTCCCGATGGTTCTGCCTCCAGGAGACCCCAGCTCGATGGGAAGCTGAAACGGTTACTCTCTAACCCTCCGCGAGACCTCCGGCCTCTTTCTCCTGTCTGCCTCGGGAGACGCTTGTCTCCGATGGGAACCTGCTAGAGCTTTGTCTCAAAGGAGAGGATGGCGGGTCAGACTCGGGGCTGCTGCTGAGGGGGAGGCTTTCGATCTCACTGAATCCCTCGACCTGCCATCATCCCAGCAGCAAGTGGCCTCAGGCGTGCTCATCGGGGTCACGTCCTCTGCCAACCCCCCAGACAACTCCCTGCCCGCCAGGCTCCTGGGGGAGTTCAGGAGTACTCACTGAGGTTTTTGGAGAGGCCTGGGGGCAGCTCGTGCGGACTGTGGGGGGTATCCAGAGGGTGGCTCCCTGTGAGGAGGAGAGGGGGTGGGGTAAGGCTGGGGTAGCAGCCAGGACAGCAGCCGGGATGCACGAAAACCCAATCCGGTGTGTATTTCCCCAGCGCCTGCCGGGGGCTGGGGGGCTGTCGTGGCGCCTGAAGGAAATAACCAGAGTTCGCAGCAGGAGGGGGCTGGGGACTTCAGTTCCATCTGAGATCCCATCCCAGAGCCCACCGCCTCAGAGACCATTAGAGAGCATTAGCACCAACAGCAGGAATGCTCCAGAGCAACTGTGAGCACTGCCGGCTCGCCCCGTGGCTCAGTGATTGAGCCTCCACCTAAGCGCCAGGAGGTCACGGGTTTGATTCCCAGTCAGGGCACATGCTCAGGTTGTGGGCTCCATCCCCAGTAGGGAACATGCAGGAGGCAGCCAATTAATGATTCTCTCATCATGGATGTTTCCATCTCTCTCCCTCTCCCTTCCTCTCTGAAATCAATAAAAATATATTTAAAACAAATATTGCCGGCACCTTGACAATTCCCTTGCTGGCATTCCCTTGTGCAGCTGGTCATGAGGACCCTGTCACTGGCATGTGCTAACGGGATGCTACCTCCCTCTCCACCACCCGCCCCCCCATGCATGTTCCTGCCTGCGTTCAAGGTATCGGCGCCCACACATCTGCATCAGCCACCTGGAGAGTCACCCCGGGTTTCAAACTGCTTCTCTCAGGGCTGGACTGGCACACGCACTCAGTGCAGACCCCCTGCCTCTCTCACCACCGGAGAGGGAGGAGGCCTCAGGCACATGAGGAGGAAGTTCACAGAACAGCGCTCCTGAGTCGGTAAACAGTGGCCCTGAGCAACGGTGACTCGCATTCGGATGGTCCCTGGCTTCCTGCTCCTCACATCACCCTGCTACCCTCTGGAGGCAAGGATTATCAGCAGCAGAATTTTATAGACAGATAGAGGCCCCGTGCATGAACTTTGTGCAGGGGTGGAGGTGTCTCTCAGCCCAGCCTGTGCCCTCTCAGGATCCTGGACCCCTCGGAAGGGTCCCTAGGCCTGGCCGGTGATCAGGGCCTATTAGGGCTTTCCTTCCCCCAGCAGCTGGCCCCACCCCCACCCCCACCGCTGCCACTGCCTGCCATCTGTGTGCGCTGTCCTTCCCTCCCCTTCACCGGTCACCCCTCTGTGAGTGACAGGCGTGGCGTGCGATCGCTTGGCTGGCCTGGGCCTCCCTCCGTGGGGTGATGACGGGGCGATGGTGGGATGCTCCCGACCAATCACATCACACCCGCCTTGGCTGGCCTGGCACCAGTGTGTGTCATAGCGACGGTCCTTCTGCTGTTTGGTTGTTCGGTCAATTTGCATATCACGCTTTTATTATTATAGATTATTACAGATGAGATTGAGACCCATGGACCACAGGCTTTCCTTGACCTGACCCCTGCTTCGCTCTGCCCAACCGTCTCCTACTTGAACCAGCAACTTCTCTGGGCGGTTGGTCCTCTCCGCCCTGGAAAGGAGGGCTGGAGTGGTGTGCGGGAGGGTGTGGGCCTGAAGGCAGACTTGGGGGCTTATGGAGAGGTTATGCTGTGGTTTCAACTGACAAGCTTCTGGGTAGCAAGCAAACCTCTTGTTCTGTCCGCTAACGTGGGTCATGGCCAAGATCAATGGTCAGGGATGTTTGTGGACCCCCTGCCTCACTCTCACTGCTTCCATGGAGGGGAGGGTGTGTTGGTCTGAGTTTTCCTGAAGGTGGGACGGACAAAGAAGAAGGCCAGGGAAAGACTGACCTCAGTTACGACCGTGCCCAACCCACCGGGGGAGGAGAGTGGGCTGGGGTACGAGAGCTGCACACACGTGCGGGCGAGAAAGAACGTTGGACGCCACCCAAGACGCAGATCATAACCAAGACTCCAGGCGGAGCTGCCGCTAACCCCGCTGCCAAGAAGTGAACTGCGGTGACCAGTTTGGTGGCACAGGACCCAAGTTTAGAACGGGGGAGGGGGATTGCAAGTTTCAACCTTTTATACTGGCCACACCTACAAGAGTGGGGAGGACGGGGCGCAAGGCCACTCCCAGGACAACAGCAAAATGGACAGCGGGCCCTGAGCACAGGGGCGAGGGGGGAGGGGTGCTGCCGGTGGAGGGACTGCCCACCGGCCCCCTTGCCTGTGCCGCCCGCCACCCCACCCCCCATCACCTGCCATGCGCTGGCAGCAAGCTCCGGGAGAGGCGCAGGAGCAGATGAGAGGCAGTTTGGGGACCCCTCCAGGGGATCGGGTGAAGGAATCATACCCCAAGCAGGAAGGTGGCATAAGACGCCACACTTACCTGCACCCGGGGCCATCAGCAAGCCGAGGAAGAGAAGCGCAGCCATCATGGGGAGCTGGGCGGCCTGAGGCAGGACAGGAGCAGCCTCCTGGGAGAGGGCAGCGGGTGTGAGAGTCTCCTTCCTGAAACCCCGGAGTAAGAACCCACAGGGGCCCTTGTCCCAGAGGCAGAGAGGGCAAAGGAGAAAGCCTGAAAGTCTGGCCCCATGGAGCTTTGCCCCTAACACATACTCTGCCAACAGCTCCTTCCTCTCCCTGGTCCTCTTCCTGAGGGTGCTCCCCCAGCATCCCCAGGGACCAGCTGGGCACTGACACGGCCTCACTTCCTGGGCAGGGACCGAGGCTCCCTGCGGGGCCCACTACATCCTGGACGCAGGATGCACACTGAGGCCAGCCCGTGCCCGTGACTCCTCCAAATGGCCCCGCCGGCCACCAAATCCCAAGTCCACAGCCGGGTCCTGAGGCACCGGACACATCGCCATTTGTGACATCTGCTGGGCAGGCCCTCGGCACACCCCGGCTGAGCCAAGGAGAGGGAAGCCAGGGCAGCCCCAGCAGTGCTAAGGGAGCCCCAATCGGGGATCCGGGGGGACACAGCCTAGGCTGCCCCCTCCTGGGCACCCAGCACCCACCCCCTGGAGGCCCAGTGAGGGGCCCTCGGGTGGGGCTGTGCCCACGGGAGGGAAGGTGACTTTGCCTCGTTTGCACAGGAGGCCGCTGCTGCAGGGGCCCTGGGGGAGGAGGGGGGGAGTGCTGTCCAGGGGACTGAGGGGCCCAGGCCTCACCTTGGTGACACCCGAGCCCTGGCTCCCACATCATCTCCCAGGACCGAGCCCATGGGGGGGGAGGGGCGGGCCCGTCTGCTGGGCACACCCAGTGAAGCTCAGGCTCTGCCTTCGGGGGCGCCCTGAGCCGGGGTGGACACTGCCTGCAGCCCATTCCATGGTGGTGACATGCCCACGTGGCGGGCCTCATGGGCGTCGGGCGGGGAAGGGCTAATTCTTGTACACTCGGCCCTGCCTGGAGCAGCAGGGGCACGGAGGGAGCGAGGAGGCCGTGATGCAGGGTCACCTTCCACACCAGGCGGGAGGGCCCGCAGACCGCACTGAGGCTTCACCTGGTGGTGAGCTCACCGCCTGTCTGGGCCCCCATCCCTCCCAGGAAGTGAGGCCTGGTGAGGCCCCAGCTGGCACCTGGAGGCATTGCCGCTAAAAGGACAAGGCTGGGGCGCCCTGGGTTGCTGGCTGCGCCCTGGAGCAGTGTTGGTCTCAGACAGCCTGGGAGCAGCCGCTCCCCCCCAGCCAGCCCCTCCCATCCCCTCTCACCCCCCCCCCCCCCCGCCATCTTTATCTATTCCTCCACTTCCCTCCCTCTCTCCTTCCCTCTCCCCCGACCCTCTTTGCTTCTTTCACCCAGTTCTTCCTTTATTCTCCCTCCCTGGTCCCCACTCCATCAGGAGAAGGGGTGCTTACCGAGCAGGTGCCCCGGGACGAAGCTGGTTGAAGGGTCCTTGCGGCTCTGGGCAAGATGGGGACGAGCCCTTTATAGGCCCAGGAAAGACTGGTCATGTGACCCACCCTCTCATCAAGAGGCCAGTCCATGAGCGGCAGGTGGGCTGCCCGGAGGGGCTGCAGGTGCAGGCTCTAATCAGAGGACAAAGGCTCCCTGTTCTGCACCTCCCCCCCTCCCACACGCCTCAGAGGCCCGGAGACCAGGACTGCCTCGGGTCGGAGGGGCTCCGGGGATGAGAGACGGGTGATCTGGGGGATGAGAGAAGCTGAAAGTCCTGGCTGTCCTCGAGGAAGAGGCCGGCTTTGTTGGTAGAGCTAATCCCTCAGCAAGATCTTGATGATTCTTCTCATATGGGCCGGGAATTGGATGTCTCTCTCCTGTAGGGATTTTCTCCTAAGCTATGGAGGGTGTGTCCCCAGGCTTCCTGAGGCCGGAGCCAGAGCTGGGCTTGGTCTCAGATTACCTGGAGGTCCCTCCTCAGTCTGGGCTCCTAGTCCACCCTATGGGGACAGCCCCATTAGGATGGAGAGTGAGGTGAGCCAGGCACAGTGTGGGGGCGGCAGTGGGCTTGTTCCCCAAGTGCCACTCTCTCCTCCTCTCCTTCCTTTCCCTCCCCTCCTCTCCTCTCCTCTTCCTTGGAATGCTTCCTTCCCCGAGTTTAAAGAGAGGAGATGCACAGGTAGGAGTGCATGCATCCCAGTCAGTGTGCTTGCGGAGTCCAGCCCTGCACCCCACAGCAGATGCAGCCTTAACGCCATCACAGATGGACGAACGGTGACCTCCAGGCTGAGGCTGCGAACCTGAGCTGTTCGGTCGGTCGGTCTGCCGCCTCCTGGGCACCCAGGGCTCGCTCAGCAGCGACACTGGGGAGAGTGGAGCCTTTCCAACCCCCTGGATGGTTTCTTGAAGAATTCCCTGTCTCCCACCCTCACCACTCCCGACACTGCAGGCCCAATGGGTCTTGCCGTAAGGCTTCGCTTTTCCCTCTCTGTGGTGGAGCAGGTGAAAGTACAGGTGCTGCAGGTCAGATAGAGGGAGGGCCGCCTCTGAGAGAGCTCACAGGACAGACTGCACCAGGAGAGCACCCAGCTTCTCACCCCAGGAAGCCACAGTCTAGAGCACTGAGCACACACCAGCAGGCACTGCACACACCCAGGAACCCACACAGGGACTGAGAAGCACCCCTCCCTTCTGCTCCCCCCCCCCAACACCCCCATCTCCTGCTCCCTCTTCCCCACCCCTCCTCCCTCTCCTCTCTCAGCTCACTTTGCTCTTCTTTGGGGCAGGAATGAAACGCACAGAAAAGCACCCGCGCCTTAGTCTCCAGGAAGAACCCCGTTTAATGATGTCACACGTGCACCTGCCAAGTCTCCTTCCACAGGGGACCACGACTGCCCCGTCTCGTTTACCTCATCAGTGGCAGCTGGTGGCCACACACACACACACACACACACACACACACACACACACACAGCACTGCTCTGGCATCCCCCAATCAGAAGGCATTCCGCTCCCCCTTAAACTCTGGGAGACCCCAATTCCATGCTCAGAATGAATGGCTGCAAAGCATCATGGAAGTTTCCAGAGCAGAGTGACCCGATTTCTGTGACCTGGGGCAGCAGGAGGGCTGGCGGGACTGCATCCACCTTGAGGCTTCTGACGGCCCTCCCCCTTCCGTGTTTTTTCCGGAATCCTGGGAGAGAAAGCAATGCTGCTTCCACCAAGGATGCTTCCAATTTGCTGATGATCTGTCAGAATCATCAGGTCTGGCCCTACTGAGGCACTAGGGGTGAGCTAATGAAATGCTTGACCAGTACAGCGGGCTAATTTATAAACTGTTGATTGTGTATGGCCCTCTAATGAGGCTATCCACATCCGAGCGGCCCCGGGCAGAAAAAGGTTCCCCACCGCTAGTCCAGCTGAGGCCGGGGTTAAGCCTGTCAATCAGCCCACGTGGGCCAGGGGCGGGGGGGAGATGTGGCTGGGTGATGGTCAGGTCCCACTGTCCTCTCAGGGCCTCACACAGACTTGCAGATGTGCTCCAGGCATCTTTGTTTTAAGGCTGAAAAGGAAAAGAAGAGGGAACTCAAGTGCCGAGAAGGAGATGCCACAAAGACATCGGCTCTGAGGGCACTGGCTCTCCCAGGGGCCAGTGTGTGCCAGGGCCTGGCAGGGAGCTGCCGGACGCATCCCCTTCCCCCATGCAATTAGAAGGAACTCGGACAAGAACCCCATCTCGTTAGCAGCGAAGCTGAGTCGCAAGCGGCTCTCTGTCCAGTGATGTTTCTCTAGCGCCCGGCTGGACCTGCACATCTCCCCATTTTGCATAAAACTTATCTGAACGCGTTCCTGTGCTGATCCGTAAATGTCATGTTGTTTGTGTACCGCTCTTAGTGTGACGAGGACAAAAGAAGAGCTATCTCTATAAATAAAAGGCTAAGTGTCCGTCCGCCCAACTGGTAGCTATGACGCACACTGACCACCAGGGGCAGGCGCTGCCATGACAGGCACTGGCCATTTAAAAATAAACAGCATCACGGACCTGGCGCCCACAAACCAACACTTAGCTTCCCCCAAGTGGACACAGGCCTCGCCACCACCCCGGAGAGAGAGACCACTAAATCATAGCCAACGCTGCCAAGACCCCATGGCGCAAAATGCAACCCACAACCCAGCCCAGCCCAGAAACGGTGGGAGCCGGGTAATGACATCACATAGCAACACCTGACTTCCTTTCCCTAGCAACTAGCCTCCTTCAGCCCAGGAACAGGACTTGCTTTATCACCAGGTGCAAACATTTTACACTTTAACCAAATGTTTTCATATGCCTCATCTCATTTGATCCTCACAGAAGTCCTGGAGTAGGTAAATAGGAGACTCAGTAAAATCCTATTTTCATTAGCAAGACAGGAATAGTGATATTAAAATATTTCTTCTAATTAATTTCCTTTCCATGTGCCCGAATCTGTGCACCTGGACATTAGTTCAATTATAAGTAGTTGGCAAGATTTCCCAGTTCTACCTGCGCCAGGGAAAGGGATTTCTCCTTTGACTATTGAGCTCCCCACATGCCACTCCCAAGGCTTGGGTTTTGTGCTGCAGAAAACAGGTGGTGATAGAGAAACTGGCTCTGTTGCTCAGTAGTTAGAGCGCCAGTCCACACCCTGAAGGGTTGAGGGTTCACTCCTCAGCCCCGGTCAGGGTGCATGAGGGAGGCAACCAATTGATATGTCTCTCTCATGTCGATGTTTCTCCCTCCTTCCCACTCTCTCTAAAAAACCAAAGGGAAAAGTACCCTCAGGTGAGGATTAACAAGGGGAAGGTGGGGAGGAAGTGGGGAGATGGATTTGCAGAAGAAACAAGGAAATGTGTTGAGAAGGAAGAACGTATTGAGGCAAAAGGAAATGAAAATAAGCAGAGGAGGCGCCGGACACAAAGGGGGAGCCAGGAAGCTTGGTTTTAGGGGAGCTGCTGAGTGGTAGGTGGACAATAGGCTTGGATGAGGCTTTGAGATGGTAGCTGGTAGGAAGTGAGAGAAAACAGGAGTTGGAGGGCAAACAAATAAGAGTGTTGTCATGGTATTCCTTTGACGTTCCTTAAGAGCCACAAGGAAGGGCTGGGTGGCTGAACGGGTTTTGTTACCTAATGTAAAACATCGCCAAGACAGGGCCATGTGAGTGCCTGGCTCACACTGCGTTTCGTTAGGAAGGTGTTTTTCACAGAGGTCCACAGGGTTCCCTGGTTTCGGAAAAGCTGAGTCCCCTGACTAGACGGTGCTGTTAGAGGCACAACGGAACGGCCAGGCGCTGGCTGGAGCACCAGGCAGGAGAGGCCGGCGCTTCTGTCGGCAGGAGCAGGAGACAAGACAAAGCTGAAGCCTGGCACACGGAGAGCAAAAGGGGCTTCGTTGCCATCGGAAGGAGGAGAGAGGACCATCACCCCACTTCCAGCCACAGCGGTGCCTCTTTTGCTTGAATGACTTGTGTACATTTGCTTTGGTCGGGACTGTGGGTGTGTCTACGGGGCTTGTCTTCTGTCTGATATTTTCCTGTGTCTGCACTTTTAGCTTCTTGGGGCTGGGGAAGAATGAAGTCGCACACAGAAAGCAGCCGTGCCTGATCTGCCTGACTCCTGCTTTTTTGCTTTTATAACACCTATTGCAAATACCAAACTGTTAGGTGCAGAGGAATCAGTAACATTCTGGACCAAGCATGTCAAACTCGCGGCCCGTGGGCCACATGCCTTGTTTATTTGGACCATGTTAGCATCTGAGAGTGACTTGCTTGTCGAGGATTCTGTCTAGAATAGCAATGACCAGGTGAGTTCCCTGGCCCCTGCTGAGGCAGGAAATGCACTCAGAGCGCCAGACCCTGCCCCCGATGCCTTTCTCCCATTTTGGCACGCCCCGGCTGGGTACTCACTGGGCGAGTGGGACAGCCTCTTTGCCTTCTGGCAGATGTGGGTCGCATTCTTCAGGAACCAGGAATAGTACTCAAGACAGGACCTGGAAGTTTAAATCAGGGCTGAGTCCAGTTACTATCACTTGTGGCTGTTAGAGGACAACCAGGATTTCTAAGAAGTCATAATGGCCCAGGCCAGTGTGCTCAGTGGTTACAGCGTTGTCCTTCACCAAAGGGTGGTGAGTTCCATTTGCAATCAAGGGCATGTAACTGGGTTGCAGGTTCGATCCCCAGCCCTGGTCAGAGCACATGCAGGAAGCAACCAATCAATGTCTCTCTCTCACATCAGTATTTCTCTCTCTCTCTCTCTCTCTCTCTCTCTCTCTCTCTCTCTCTCTCTTTTTCTGTTTGTTTCTCCCCCACCCTCCCTTCCTTCTGCTCTCTCTAAAAGTATCAATGGAAAAAATATCCTTGGGTGAGGACTATTAAAAAAAAGTAATAATGGCCAAAACCGGTTTGGCTCAGTGGATTAGAGTGTCGGCCTGCGGACTGAAAGGTCCCAGGTTCGATCCCAATCAAGGGCATGTACATTGGTTTTGGGCACATCCCCAGAAGGGGGTGTGTAAGAGGCAGCTGATCCATGATTCTCTCTCATCGATGTTTCTAACTCTCTATCCCTCTCCCATCCTCTCTGTAAAAAATCAATAAAAATATATTTTTAAAAAGTCATAATGGACAATTATCCAAAGCAAGGAAGCCCTTCTCCATCTATAGGGTGTGCGAGGAGAGGTACAGAATGAGCAGGAGAGCACTCATACGTTGGCATCAGAAAGACTTATTTTTAGGCCTAGCATCACTACCTAGTAGGATGTGTAACTTCAGCTGATTCCTTAATCCTCTGGGGCCTTAGCTTTCTCATCTATAAACAAAAGGCAATAACAGAACCTGCACTTGTGGGGATCTGCCAAGGTCCTGACCAGGGCCAGGCTGTCTCAGGTGCTCAGTGCACGGTAAGGGCTGATCTAGTCTGTGTGTGTGATGGAGCAGTGCCGCTACAGTCCATGCGGGATGCCCTGCTCCTGGCTGGGGTCTGCACATCGCTTCAGCGGGCAGAGGGGAAGAAGTGGGCAGGGGGGCCGTGTGACTCGCTCACTGCAGGACTCTGGGAATCCACTTCCCGTCCAGCCCTCAGTTGAGGAGGATGGGCTCAGCATTCTCTAATCTCTCTTCCATCTCCATCACCTGTGACTCCAGCACACACTGGGAAGCAACTCCTTAAGCCAGTTAGCCATAAAGACGGCCCCGGTTCTATCACCCTCAGTTTAAAACAAAGGAAACCGAGGCCCAGAGACAAATGGATTTGCCCAGGACACAGTGCTTTCAGTGGTAGGGCTGGACTTGAACTCACGGCACCCACTCCATGCCGGAACCCACTGCCGTTCCACTGGGCAGGAAGAACGGGAGAGCCAGCCCAGCTGGGAGGCACAGAACCCAGCTGTTGCAGAGGGAATCATTGCTGGGAATCGGGACAAAGTGTTTAGAAGAAACCAACAGGGAAATCTTGTTTAAAGTGGAAATAAAGGAGAGAAAACCTTTGGCTTCTCCATTCTACTGTCCGCCAATCTCCTGCCAGTATCTTCCATCGAATGCATTTACAGGAAGACGGCTGGAAAGGCATTCTGGGAAATGGGAAATGTGCCAATCAGCCTCTCCTGCCTGTCCTTCTGCCCCCAACACACACACACACACACACACACACACACACACACACACACGGCAGAAAGAGCAGAGAGGATCTGAGGGTGGTGTGGAATGATGACCACTGCCAAGGCACTTTGCTGTGAGCGTGTGACCTCATATTCTCCAGGTGACATCTCAGTCAACAACCTTGACGTGTCAAGCCTGGTCCACAGCTGGCGTGGCCCCTGGGCACTTGGTTGCCACAGCTACAACGTATCTAGGAGGCAAGAGCTGAGGCTCCAACTTGGCATGAGAGCGGATGAGGGAATGAGGCACCATCAACTGCAAGTGTGTCTCCTCAGCCACCGAGTCAGCTGCCCGGCTGTGCAGGAGCATTCAACGTCCTCTCCCGTTTCCGCTCCACTGGCTCTCACCACAGACTGGCAGCACAGGCAAGAACACTGCTGCCCTTCGCCATGGATGGAATGCCTCCACCGTGAGGGCTGACACCTGCAGGCCTGTGCATCTTTTTTTTTTTTTAAATACATTTTTATTGATTTTTTACAGAGAGGAAGAGAGAGGGATAGAGAGTTAGAAACATCGATGAGAGAAAATCATCGACCAGCTGCCTCTTGCACACCCCCTACTGGGGCTGTGCCCACAACCAAGGTACATGCCCTTGACCGTACATGCCCGGGACCTTTCAATCCGCAGGCTGACACTCTATCCACTGAGCCAAACCGGTTTCGGCTGGCCTGTGCATCTTGCTTACTGCCCTCTCTGGGTGCAGGAAACAGCCACACTCATGAGAGGATCCAAGCCCAGGGCAGGAAGGGGTGATGGGAAAAGGCTGCAACCCTGACCTTGAAGCTCAGAGCAGGTGGATCACGGAGCCTGGAAGTGCTGAAGCGTAGAATGAGTAGACTTTGAAAGTTGCATTAAAGATCTGGGAGACTGACCCCAGACCGGGAGCAGAACTACCCTGTTTCCCCAAAAATAAGACAGTGTCTTATATTAATTTTTGCTCCCAAAGATGCGCTAGATCTTATTTTCAGGGGATGTCTTATTTTTCCATGCGCTAGGTCTTATTTTCAGGGAAACACGGTAGTTATCTGTGCTGTTTGGCTCCGGGTTTCCAGCCAAGAATAAATCCCAGAAGACAGGACAGGACACCAGCGTCCCGGGGCAGAAGAGTGGCCATGCCTAGACCTTCTTAATAGAAAGCGGGGTCTACCTTCTAATTTTCTTGGGTCAACCTTCTCATTTGCAAAGGACGGCTAGGGGTTTATGGAAGACCTGTAATTTAGATGGACAGGCCCTCTGGTTATTACCTTCTAGCAAATTTCACCAGGCGGAGGCACTGGGTTTAAGGACCAAAGTCCTCTGACATTCCATCGTGTAGGGCACAGTTCAATTCAACTCGACTGCCCTCGATTGCACTTGGCTCAGCTACTAGTATATTTATTATGTCTGGCTCTGCACGGGGCTCTGGGGGCCAGAAATGGATAAGGTTCCATCCTGGCTCTTGAGAAGGTGACAAACTAGCAAAGAACTCACTGGGGAGTCCACTCCTTGAGGCGCCCCTGTCGCTGTCTGCAGTCCACACCTGCAGAGAAGTCGTGCAGAATAGGACGCACATAAATGCTGGCCCAGCAGCCTCTGGCCCCGGTTACCTCATGGCCTCCGTCCCGGGGTCCCTCCTCGGGCTCGCGCAGAGGCACTGCTGGAAAAACCGGCACAGCTCCATCAGGCAGGGGGTGAGCTTGTGGGCAGCCCCGGGGAGGGGCCCCGCTGTCACAGGCCCGTCTCTGAGGACCTGCTGAGGACACCCTGGAAGACACAACCCCAGACCAGTCGAGTCAACAAGAATGTCCTCAGGGGCTCCCTTTGTGAGACTCTGAGCTCTGTGGCTATGGTCCTGCCCTGACCTCCAGCGGCTGAGACAGACAGGGAAGCCTGGTGTCCTTCCTCGTTGCCTGTAAAGCTGCTGCGACCGATCTGAGGGGTCGGAGGGCTGGAGGAGGACAAGGGGGATCCAGCTCCTGGAAGGGACCAGACATGGTTCTCCTGAGAAGTAAACGTTCCACAGGATCTCAGACAGTGAACGGGCTGGGGAATGAGCTAGATCTGGGCTCAACACAGAGTCACCGTTTCCTAGGAAGGACTCGCTGACAGTGGTTAATGAAAATAATGTGACCTGCCCTGCAGAGCCACTGCAGAGAGAGAGGGAGCATAGGCATAACCCAGTGCCTGGCACACAGGAGGAGCGCAATGCATACTTAACCAGGAGAAGAATGAGTGACTGCCAAAAAATTGGTGGCATACTTTGTGAATGGGCAGAATCACATACTGGAAAATGCCAGAACTCTGTTAGTTTATACTTAGACAAGAGACCCGGTGCACAAAATTTGTGCATGGGTAGGTTTCCTAGGCCTGACCTGTGATCAGGGCCAATCAGGTTTCCCTGCCTCCCAACCTCCCTGCCTCCTCCTTCCCTTCCCTTGCTCCCTCAGCTCCTGCCGCTGCTGCTGGCCACCCGTCATGTTCAATGCTGCCCCCTGGGGGTCAGCGCACATCAGTCAAACTCCCAAGGGGATGATTTACATATTACCCTTTTATTATATAGTATTTCTCATTAGATGGGTGGAGGATAGATAGATGATAGAGCTATATAAGTAACTACAGGTATGTAGGTATAGGTCAAATAAAGCAATAGCTATAGATACAGGTAGAACTAGGAGGCAGGGTTATTTGCAAAAGATGGTCCTGCTGGGAAAATCGAAGGCAGCAGGAAAAGAGGAAGATGAACGAGGAGCTGGACTGACTCCATGAGAGAGGCCACGGGCAGGAGTCTGCAGGAGCTGAGCATGCTGGGAGGACAGGACAGGCGGCTGTCACTCAGTCACAGGGTCTCCGGGAGCCGGAGCCGACCCCAGGGCAGGTAACGGCAAAGATGCAGACACAGCCAGCTTGTGTTCTCAAAGCTGCCCCCTCCCTGCCCCCACCTGCCCCGCTGGCGTGTTTCTGTGGATGCCCAGAAGGGAGGGCTGCCATTTCCTGCCAGCACAATCCCGTCTTTGTGTGTAAGTCCGTCCACGGCAGGCTGAGAGCGGGGTCTGGGCAGATCGGGGTGATATGAAACGGAGACTGTGCAGGCGCCCACATTTAATAAAGCTTCGCTGACACACGGAGGGGCACCAGGAAATCAGACTGGAAAGGCCCCTGGGCGGGGAGGGGCCTGGGGCTCAGGCCGCTCTCAGGGACTCACTTCGGATCCACTCCTCCATCATGGAAACTGCTCAACAGAAAGGAGGGGGGTCACCCCAAAGCGGGGGGGCCTGCAGCACAAACCCCAGAAACTGGGGCCGAGCCTCTGACCAGACCCCCCCCCCCCCAGGCTGTCCTCACCAGGAAGTTCGAGAGGAGGAAGCATGCAGGGCTGGGGAGGACAGGGTGTCCTTGCCAACAGAGAAAGGTCAGCGCGCCCAGAACATGGGGTGGAATTTCGGAGTCATCCTGTCCTCCTTCCCCTCTAACATCAGCCCGTTAGGACAAGGCCCACTCGCCACGTGCACGGTGTTCACTCAGTAACAGTGGCTGAGTACCTCCACCCTGGAGCCCTCAGTGCAGAGCCACTTCCACACACGCCATCTCCCTTCAGACAAAGCCTCACCCCAAAGCAACAAGAGCGATGAGAGAGACAAGTGCTGGGACGTACTGGAGACGTGAACGCGGTGGGGTCCCGGGGCCAGCTCCTCTCCAGCGGGGAATGGCCGCAGATTATCATCTGCAAGGAGCAAGCATGGCCTCACCATTCCAAACAAAACGGCCTTGGGTTTAGCCTCATACCCAGATCATCACAGCGCCTGAAGGGTTAACCCCACACGCAGAACATCACAGCTCCTGAGGGGTAAAGAGATCTCAGGACCCATGGGGAAACTGGGACCAAGGAGGAGGAGGTGACTAACCCAGGCTCACGGGAGAAAGTAGCTCACAGCAAGGCTGAGCGCCCCCTGAGGAACCAATAGGTCCAACACCCAGCTCTGCCTACCTCCCCACCCCGGCCCCGGGCCTGCCCGAAGCCGTTCCTCCCTATGGTTTGGGCTCTCACCTGTGTGTGGGTACCGGGGAGCCGGGGCCTTGGTTGGACTGGAAGTCTGTGTGCCAGGGGTGGGTGTTCCTGGGTGAGATGGGAGACAGGTGAGCCTGCACGGCCCAGGAGGCCTGGCTGGGAGCAGGGCCCCCTGGCCGCCCATCCTGCCCTGGGCATCCAATGTTGGTTACCCTGCCAGGTGCCAGGCAGGGCACTGAGGACACAGCAATGAGTGAAACACAGCCCAGCTGGTGTGGCTCAGTGGTTGAACCTGGGTCTAGGAACCAGGAGGTCACGGTTCGATTCCCAATCAGGGCACGTGCCCGGGTTGTGGGCTCGATTCCCAGTGTGGGGCATGGGAGGCAGCCGATCCATGATTTTCATTGTTGATGTTCTCTCTCTCTCTCTCTCTCTCTCTCTCTCTCTCTCTCTCTCTCTCTCTCTCTCTCTTCCTCCTGAAATCAATAATATATATATATATATATATATATATATATATATATATATATATATATATATATATTAAAAAGAGGGGGATTTGGGGTAGAACATCCTCGCTTACCCGAGGTCGGGCTGGTCCGGGAAGGGCTGCTGCGTGTCCCAGCAGGAGGCTCCCAAAGGCTCCCCGTGGTCCCTGTGGTCCCCGTGGTTCCCGTGGTCCCTGTGACCTTGGCCTCTGCGGGCGATGTCGCTGCGGAGGAGCGCGCTTCCCAGGGCGGCCCTCCAGGGGTGTCCTCGCCGGTGGTCGGAGCCCGGGGCACAGGCTGTGTGGATGCCCAGGCCAGCCCGCCGTCTGTCACCCATGGAGTGCCCGCTGCCCTCCTGGTCGCTGTGCAAGCCACAGTGACAGGCCATTGCTGTGCTGGAGCACTTTGGTTTAGGTATAAAATTGCTTAGACACCGAAATGTCATCTTAGGGTAAACGCACAGCGCCTGCATAATCTAGATACTCTAGGGACTTAAACACGACCAGGAACTGGACCAAACTAAAGGTTAATTTCCCAACTACCCACATAAAAACATCCCCCAGTCCTTGGGATGCCCGAGCACTCTCGACATTATTCCCAACCACGTGTCAGAGCGGAAAGGGGCTGGGGCTGAGGTGAAGGCACCCAGAGGGTGAGCTCTGCTCCTGCTGTAACATCTGGGGCAAGTTACTGGATGGCATTTAGTTTTGTCATTGAAATGGAGATCACAGTGACACCCGACAGTGTCAGAGGATGGTGATGGAGACACGTCTTCCCTGGCGGGTCTTGTGAGTAACTGCTAGCGATCTGCACGTGTTCATTCCCATGGTGGGAATTAAAACTCTTTTTTTTTTTTTTTTTTTTTTTTCAAGTTTGACAAAAGCAAATCCCCTTGGAAGGTTTTAAACCTCAAAGCTGAGAACAGTTGCCATCTTCAAAATATCCAGATCTCTTAGCCAGAACACGGTCTGGTGCTTTGTTGACTTAAATTTGCCTTTTACAAACACGTCCATGAAAGCTGTGTAGCTTTGTGTACACAAAGCCAGCACTTCTGGTGAGGAGCCCGGCAAGGAATGTTAGCATTCCTCTGGCCTCTAGCAATCGCCCTGTAACGTTTTGTGTCTCATGATGCCCACTACTGTACTAAGGACCTTTCTAGTTCATAAGTTGAGTCATTTTCCTGTCCTTGTTTTCCTGCTGCCTGACTCTCCCCCCCCCCCCCCCCCATTCGAGACCCTATTGGATTTTCCACCTTATTAGTCCAGGGCTGTAGCCACCTCTCTGGACAGTAGCTGCCTCTAACGATATCTTCCCCACAGAGATGGTGGGGAAGGAGGACTCTCTTGGCCCACCATCGGCAGTGGCTTTGCACGCTGGCACCATCATTAACATATTCTTGGCATCATGATGCAGCCAGCTGCGCGTTAACCTCCCCCTGCCATGCGCTGCCAAGTGCATTTCACCACTTCGTGTGAATCCCAGGAGAGACGCTGCTAAATGCTCTGCTGAAATATAAATGCCTTTTTGCTCAGCGTATTTCAGGTCTGCAAGAGATTCCCATTGGGGGGTGCTGGGTGAAGGCTCCTAGGAACTCTCCGTACTGTATTCACTGGAGGGTGGAACAGGCAGGAGAAAGGGTGAGAAATCTTACCTGAGCCTGGGAGGGTGGGAGAGACGCTGCCCGGTTTGGCTGTGGCTGTGGCCGTGGCCGTGGCCGTGGCCTTGGCGAGGAGCTCAGAAAGCCTGACTGTGGTCACCGCCTGCTCTTGCTCCGAAGGCTCAGGCACCTCGGCCCAGGGAGAGGCGCTCAGAGCGGGCAAGCTGGTGCCCCGGGCTGTGCGTGGAGGGCTTGTCCGTGGCGGTGTCTGCTGGCCTGTGGGTGTGAGCTTCGAAGCCGCGGCTGTCCCCCTGGGGGCTGTAATATTTGTGTCACTGTGGACGAAAGGTCATCATCACACAGCACATGTTTAGAACACAGAGACCAAACCTGACTCGGACCAGCAGCACGCGTCACCGAGTAGACGGTTTCTCCGTGAGTGACGAATTAATCTAAAACACCAGCCTCTGCAAAAGCCATGGAAAGCAGCACAGCGAACAGAAGGCAAAGCTGTCAGGAACCCAGCGGGAGGCGATAGGGAGCGGAGAGGACTGTGGCCAACAGGAGGAAGGCGGCCCTCCTAGTGGGGGATGAGGGCGGCAGCTACTCAGCACCAGCTGCTCGTTGCACGAGTGAGGGGGAAGATCCAGGTTGCTAGATCTTTTGCAAAAATTAAAATGGCAACACCCTCCTTTCCAATCCAGGATAGCGAAATAAAACCCTCCGGGCAGCGTTCCGTCTTCCGTTTGCCCAGAGAGAGCCTGGTCCGGAGATTCTAGAGCCGGCGTGCGAGCGGTTTCCACTCACCCGGAGCAGCGGCCAGGCTGCTGGTGAAGGTGTAAGTGATGACCGGAGATTTCTCCGCCAACTCCCAGAAGTCCGAAAGGTTCCGTCCTGCAAAGACCCCACCGACAGGGTCCATCAGGGCCCGCCTGCTGGGGGCTGCGGCTACATCTCAGCTCAGAGGACTCGTCCAAGGGGGCTCACCTGCCTTCCCCGTCATCACGCAGATGAAGATGCAGTCGGACGCGTTGGTCTGGCTCACTGCAAGACAACCAACGGCACCTGCGCCTGAGCAACAGCTCCGGGCTGCAGCGCCTTCGGCTGAAACGAGATGAAGCTGCACATGCCCAGCGCCGGGGCTGTGGGAACTGGGGCTGTGTCTTCACTCTGAAGGCGGACCTGCTCTTCTGGGGGGCTCCGGGAGTGCGGTGCAAGATAATGAAATGGCTACGGGCACAGCTTCTGGGGTCAGCTCCCCAATCACAACATCCGCCCTGAACAAAAGGCAAACTGCTTGACCTCTCCAGGACTCAGTTTTCCCACCTTTAAAACGGTGAACATTCTCGCCGAAACCGGTTTGGCTCAGTGGTAGAGCATCGGTCTGGGAACTGAAAGATCCCAGGTTCATTCCGGTCAAGGGCTTGTACCTGGGTTGCAGGCACATCCCCCGTAGGGGGTGTGCAGGAGGCAGCTGGTCAATGTTTCTCTCTCATTGATGTTTCTAGCTTTCTATCTCTCTCCCTTCTTCTCTGTAAAAAAATCAATAAAATATATTTTAAAAAAAGAAAAGAAACTGTAAACTTTAAAAAAATAAATAAATAAAACGAAAATTCTCATCCCACAGTCCCTTATTTGCAGTTTGCAAGTCCCCAAACCTCTGTACAATGGGAGGATCAAACCATCCTCTCAACGAGCCCATGTGTTGAGCTGCTAGCTAAATCTGTGCTTTGCGAAGTGGGTCCCCAGGGGAATTGCCCGGAGGTATATGACGCCACCTTATAAATGAGCCATGTCTTTCTCAGCTGCACTGTAGACATGGGCTTTGGCTCCATATAGATCTCAATCTGAATTCTGAATAACCTTGATCAAAATAGTCAGCCTCTCTGAACCTCAGTTTTTCTCATCTTTGAAATGGGAGCACAGCTGTCCAACAGAAGCTGTTTCCTTGAATCTTCCCCTAACTTTGAGCCTTGGATTCGTCCTCCAATGTCCTGAGCCAGGAATAGCTCTGGCTGGAAGATAGAACCTTCAGGTGCTGGTGGTTGAAAGGGGACACACTGTCTAAATTAAACTCATTAATTAAGCAGTACTTAGTCCCACTAACGTTCCTGGCAGCCTGGCCTATGGCAGGGGCTGGGGCAGGGGTTGGGGGGTCCACTGGGTTTGATTACACTCCGTGGCAGATGCCAAATCTCAAACTTGCCAAGCATTTTCAAGATGAACACACCTGAGAGGATAGAGGTGGACTTAAAAATCTCTGTGAGGTAGCTGGTGGAATTCCCAATGATGTCCACCAGGAGGGCTGTGAAATCTGCAAGACAGATTGAGGAGGTTTACGGTTCTGAGGGGGAAAGTACTTTATATTTGGATGTTTCAGAGTCAATTTTACAAGTTTGATTTAGTTCAGTGACTTGAAGAATATTAACAATCACAGAAATGCCACTCGTTATTTTAAAAAGTCTTAATTTCAGAAAGGCAGAAAACTTTTTGGACCCACCATTATAAATCCTCTTTCTCCTCTATTGCCCTCTTCCCCCAAATCCTTGTCTGCCGACCCCAAAGAGCTGTGCAAGGCCACATTGTTGAGTAATGGTTTTTCTGATTTGTTTTCCCCCTTATCCTATAAACTTCTTCATGATCTGCAATACCTTTCCTGTCTCACCCCACAATTTCCCACCTGACAGGTCATTGGTCTGATTATTTAAGCAGTAGGTAGCCCCGCCCACCTGACAGGTCATTGGTCCGATTGCTTAAGCAGTAGCAGTACCGCGTGGGGAACTTGGCCTGGTCCACCATCTTCAGGTTGGAAACTGTGAAGAGAAAGCCCACACGGGGGTCCTGACACCGCCTGGCCCTGTGGGTGCCCCGCTCTTTATCATGGCCACCATGAGGCACTCACTGTTGTACACAGCCACGGACAGCTTGTGGAAGGCGAAGGAGCTGTAGGACGTGATGCTGAGCAAGGAGAAGAACTTCCTGCTATCTGCCAACGACATGGGAATACAGAAAGACACACGCCTACTGACCAAAACAAACAACAACAGATTCCCAAACCGGTAATAGAAATTAAGAATGCAGCGAACACATAATAAAGTAACTTAAGAAATAAAATAAAAGTGCAAAAATACACGTCACTTGGCTGTATTTTCTGCGCTCAGTAAATAATTGTTGAATGAATGGTCCTGGATCTAGGACAATTCTCTCTCGAGGCAGTCAGAACAGGAAAGTAGGCACCTATGGCATGTGGGACAAGCCTGCTCTAACGTGCTGGCAACCCTCCCTCACTGGAGTGTTTCTTTCTTTCTTTTATTTATTAATACATTTTATTGATTTTTTACAGAGAGGGAAGGAGAGGGATAGAGAGTCAGAAACATCGATGAGAGAGAAACATCGATCAGCTGCCTCCTGCACACTGGGGATGTGCCTGCAACCAAGGTACATGCCCTTGACCGAAATCAAACCTGGGACCCTTCAGACCACAGGCCGATGTTCTATCCACTGAGCTAAATCGGCTAGGGCCCTCACTGGGGTGTTTCCCTCCCATCCCGAGTTAGCCAGGGCAACACAGCCTCACGCTGAGCAAGGGGAGCTGGCACACGCGTGTGCCCAGGTCACAGAGTCCAGCGGTGAAGCTGGTCCAAGGCCGAGACGGGCCTGGATGGTGCTTTTAAGCAAAACTTACATTTTTGTTGTTGTTGTTAAATGTATTTTTATTGCTTTCAGAGAGGAAGGGAGAGGGAGATGGAAACAATCAATGATGAGAGAGAATCATTCATCAGCTGCCTCCTGCACGTCCCCCACTGGGGATGAAACCCGCATGTGCCCTGACCAGGAATCGAACCGTGATAGGTTGATGCTCAACCACTGAGCCCCGCTGGTTGGGCCAGAAAAGCTTACCTTTTAAGGCTCTGCTCAGCATGTCATTCACCAGCTCCGTCAGGTTCAGGGCGGACAGGTCCACCGCCCTCGCAGGCAGCTCTGCAAGAGAAGTGCTTCCTCACCGCTCACCTTCAGGTGCCTCCTCTTTCGGGGAACAGGAGCCCCCGACCCCAGCCTCTCGCTGCCCAAGGGGCCTGGAGGCATGCACTTGGCGGCCCTCAGGCCGGTGACCGTGAGAATCGCTGGGGACCCTGTGAAAAGGCTGATCCCAAGTCGCTGCTGGAGATTCTGGCCTCTTGGGGCCACAAGGGGCCTTGACAGGCACCTTTCACAGAACAGGAGGGCAATTCTGATGTAGATGCGGGGACTCACCTGCCCTGCCCTCTACTCAGGGGGGAGACGAGGCTCAGAGAGGGAGAGAAACCTGCCCAAATGTGCACACTGAGCTCCCGGAAGGAAGAGATCGGGACCTACTTCCTAGAGCTGGGAACCTGGGGCCTTCACAGTATTAGGCCACTTGCCCAGCCGGCAGTTTGTGGCATCCGAGAAGTACAGGTCAAGGGAAATTCTGCAAAGCCAAGGCATCAGTCATTCTTGGATCATTCAATAGACACTCCCCGGCGTGGGGGCTAATGGGCGAAGGAAAAGGAGCGGATCTCCAGCTCCCTGTGACTCCGGTGGGAGGAGGGAGAGTCAGGTGCACGGCAGGTGAGGAGCATCAACCAGGGAGCGATGCGGCCGTGGGCGCCTCTATCAGAGCACCCAGCCTGGTCCAGGGCAGTGGTCAGCAAACGCATTAGTCAAATACCAACAGCACAGCGATTGAAATTTCTTTGGAGAGCCAAATTTTTTAAACTTAAACTTTTTCTAACGCCACTTCTTCAACATAGACTCGCCCGGGCCGTGGTATTTTGTGGAAGAGCCACACTCAAGGGGCCAAAGAGCCGCATGTGGCTCGCGAGCCGCAGTTTGCCGACCACGGGCCTAGGGGCTGGAGAAGGACCCCAAGCATGGAAGTGAGGAAAGCCGCGATGTGAAAGGCCATTGCCTGGGGTGAGATGCCATTCACTCATTTGGCATGTGTCACTCATAAGGCATTGGTCACTCATTCCGCATTTGTCACTCATTCAGCATTTGTCACTCAGCATTTGTCACTCATACGCATTTCCCCTTCTAGTCGCAGTGATGACTTTCCACGGCGCCTTCCGGTGGAGAAAGTGTCTACGCCCATTCCAGAGCTGGAAAGGCCGAGGCCCAGAGAAGTTGAGACCTTGTGTGTTCCCGAGCTACCGTGTCACAGCCGGGATCCGGGCCCTGTTACCTGTCGCAGCCAGGAGAGCCCGGGCCTTTTCCTTCCCCGCGTCCTCATTCCCGGACCCTGCAATGCGAGCGTTCGGGACTCAGATGGCTGGGCGGGAGCACAGCCTCACACAGTTTGTAACATCCTACAAGCATCCTGTCCAGCACTCCCTAGAGGGGGAGGACGCCGAGGCCCCTGACAAAGGGGAGCGCTGTTCCTGATGCCCACGCCTGGCTGGTGGCCCTGCCTCCCCAGCCCTGACTCAAACATGTCCGTAGTGTTGGAATGCATTCACCATCTTGCCCAGACACCAAAAGAGAAAAAAGAAAAAAAGGCAAAGAAATATGGACTTATTTCAGAGGCGACGGTGGCGGAGTATTATAATGCCTCCCATTATGAAATCTTCCATCGCTCATAGAACTTCAGTCTTTGTGGGTTTAATGAGATCATGGGGACCCAGGAGTCCCCTGAGCCATAAAGCAATGAGCAACTCATAGAAACCGTGCCTATGACTGTCAGAGCTTGGGATAGAGACACAACCCCATTTTACAGATGGAGAAGCTGAGGCTCAGAGAAGCCAAGGCATTTGCCGCAGACAGAGTGAGCTGGGAGAAGCACCTGCCCATTTACCTGTCGTCAGTGGGAAGGCTGGGACTGTTTCCTCCTTGGTTTCTCTTTTCACAGCAGCCACTAAAACAAAAAAGAGTTTTCATCAGGAAAATTATCACCCAGACATGACCTCAGAGAGAACGAACCCAAAATACTCCTGTGAAAGACGAGAACACTCTGATCTGGACGGGGAAGCAGCTTGCTGACAATCCCACATGCCGTTTGTGCGTTCTGTCGCTCAGTCATCACATATTTATCTAATCGCTAGGATAGCGCTGAGGATTGGTGATGTTACCCAGCACCTGGGCTTGCGTGGGCATTGTGCGTGTCAGGTGCCAAGGTCGTCTGATGATAAGTGGATACAGACTCCACCCCTTATGGATCTTAAACTCCGGGTGGGAAGGCGGACATCAGACTCTGGATATTACCGTGAACCATGAGGCTTATTCTGGAGCCTGATGTGATCTCAGTGACGGGCGCATCCCCTGGGAGGTGGCATCAGCTAGCCCTGAGGCGGAAGAGGATGCCAGTGGGTTAACTGGCGGAGGGGCTGCTCTGTGTCCAGCTAGCAGGTGCCCAGCGTCAGAGATGCACAGGAGAGTGACTTTAAAGATGTGAAAAAGGCCAACAGGGCTGGGACTCAGGGAATGAGGAAGGAGGTGGGGGGTTGCAGGAAGTAGCCAAGGCGCAGGGAGCCGTCATGTCCATCGGGTAAAGGACGTGAGAAGTGGGCGTGACTATTTGGAGGGGACAGAAATGGAGGAGCATGGAGGGTGATACAATGAGATTTATGAGGTTAGGCGGGCCGGTGAGTGCAGAATGCATTGTGGAGAGACTAGGAGAAGCTGGGAGCTGATTTGGAGGCCCGAACGGGACAGAACGGGACAGAACGGGAACAGTGACAGGGAAGATAATTCTGTGGTGTAAGTGGCACTCGCTCGCAAAAAGTCAGGGAACAAAACCAGGGGTGGGGTCGTTGCTATTGCCATTTTGGCCAAACATGTTGAGGATTCTGACCTGAAATGCTGGCGGCTGCCAGCCTGTAAAGCACAGGAATACCCATGCTTAGCACCCATACCAGACGCTTCCTGACCTTGGCCCGCACCCACCTGTGTTCCAGAGGCACAGGATGCAGGCCAGACCCATGCACAGCCTCTGGGGGGCGCCGCGCTCCCGGAGGCCCGGCATGCTGGGGTGTTCTGGACGGACCGCCTGGGGGTGAGCAGGCAGCGGGGGAAGTCGCTGGCGCACCGTCCACGCTGGTTCAGACCGTCCTTGAGAACATCGCCCGGGAGTCACTAGAAATACATTCTGAAAAGGTTCTTTATAGTTAGGATAGGGGGGGGTATGCTGAGGTAACAAATGAACTCCACAGACTCACTGGCTGCATTCAATAACAGAAGTTCATTTCCTATTTGTGGTCCATAGTCACTGCAGACTGGAGAGAGACTGCGCTCCACGCGGTGTCTCAGGGACCCTGGCTGTAGGAGGCTCCAGGGTCTTGTAATTCTCCCTCTGGCCCTTGTGGCCACCGTAGCCATTGATTTATTGTGCAGTGGAGAGGAGGAAGCCGAAAGACTGTACCATCTCTCTCTCTCCTTTTAAAAAAATATTTTAAAATTGATTTCAGAGAGGAAGGGAGAGGGAGAGAGAGATAGAGAATCATTGATCAGCTGCCTCTTACATGTCCCAACTGGGGATCGAGCCCAGGACCAGGGCATGTGCCCTTGACCAGAATGGAACCCGGGACTCGTCAGTCCGAAGGCCAACTCTCTATCCACTGAGCCCCGCCGACCGGGCCTGTGTACCAACTCTGAAATGCCCTGGCGGGCAGTGGCACACTCACTTCTATTTCTAGCCCACACCAGAATTGCTCATGCGGCCCCACGTAACAGAAGGAGATCCGGGCACAGAAGGGGGATTGGTGTCTAGTCCATGGTTTCCTGGCTGTTTAGATGGATCTTCCTTCCACATGCAGCATCGTAGCTGCCTCGGACACATTAGACACACAAGCATGTATGTGTGCTCAGGCTTCCTTGCCTTCGCCGCGGCTCTGTGTCCCCGTGGTCCTCCTGGGACTTGCTGTGCAGAATCAGCATCAGCGTGACAGGGAACGTGGCAGAGCTGAGACTAATACGAATAATGGTGACAGTTTGCTGAGCGCTGTCTGGGTGCCAGACACCACACCGAATGCTGTCTGACGCATCTCATCGCTGAACAGCCACAGAATCCCCATGTGTCAGGATTCGTGCAATTCCCACTTAGCACCCAGCCTGCTCAGCCGTGATTTGAAAAGAGCAGGCACCTGCCATCGGTGGAGAATGACACAGATCTGGAAGGCAAACTGGGGGGAGGGGGAGGGGAAAGGAAAGTGCAGAGGAAGTGGGGTTGAGGAAAGCGACTTAGGAACGGAGCATCTTCATGGCAGGCTAAGAACATCTTTGAAGAAGTTGTGCTATCCATCGGGATGGACCCACCTTGGGAATTTTGCTGAAAGATCCTAATAAACACTTAAGTTGCTTTTTAATGAGTGGTAGATAAGGACTGGTGCCTTCACTTTTAGGCATCCTCTCTTATTTCCTTCTCCCCTCCCCACCCCTTCGTCTTACCATTTTACCTTTTCGACCACCCTCCCCGAGAGACATGAGATTCCGATGACATCAGGGAAGAACCCAGAGACAGATGGGAAGCCCCCTGGTTACAGGGCTCCTACGTGGGACACGTGGGATTTGAACTGAGCCCCCTCAGATGCTAAAGTATGTGTCCTTTCCACCACATTTCACTCTATTCCCCGCCCATCGAAACGCCATCTTGATGGCCAGGAATGGGTCTGACATTGAGGAAAACAGATTTATTATTGCAAAGCCTTTTGGTGGCTGGACTGAGCTAGGCATTCAGTCACACTCCCCGAAGAAGGGCTGCGAAGTGCTGTTGTGACCGAGGAGCCAAGAATTGGCCCCCAAATCCTATGAAATGAATTCACAGTAGGTCCCTGTTTGGGGGATGGGGGGGGCGGGGGGAGGAGGGAGGCAACAGCCTGGAGCTTCACATTGTATTACTTCCGTTCACAAGGGTGGCCGTCAGCCACAGTTACGTTAGCCGCCAAGGACCCTGCCCTCCTCCCCACACGGTGCAGCCCAGGGAAGGTGCCCGTCAGACAGACTCTTCACAAAGCCCAGCGGAGAGGGGACTCGAACCCAGGTCCTATCTTCTTTGGGCCGCCACAGGGAGAACTACTGCTCTCAGTGCATGACTCTGGACGGTTCATGCAGCCGCCTTCAGCCTAAGTATCAGCTCCCTCCTCCCGTGAGGGACCCAGGGGGTCCGGGGTGCCAGACCACTGGCCCAGGGTCCTTCCACAGGCGAGCGGCAGCCCAGACTGCACACTCAGGCCTGGCAGACAACACTGAAGGGTGAGGTTCTGAGGCAGCATAGGAAGAAATGCCTTGCTCTGTGGATTGGGGAAACTGAGGCAGGTGGCTGAACAGATTGGCCAAGCAATTTACAGCCAGGTCCGGCCGGTCACCTCCCTGGAGCTAAGATCTAGGCCTCAGCTGTAGTTCAGCCCCGGGCCCAGAAAAGCAGCCCACCCAGGAGAGCGGGGCCAGGGCCAGCTGCAATGACTAATGACCGCCTTGGCGCCAACCAATCAGCGGAGGACACGACCCTGAAAGGGCACACCTGGAATGTTCTGCTGCCATCCCCACCCTTAAAAGCCCCAGACAGAGGCCCCAGCACCATCCCTCTCCCCTCCCCTGCCCCACAGGCTGCAAATCCTAACCTCTAAGGGGCCCCAGGAGACTTGCAACCAGGAGAGCAATGGGCTCCCCCCGGAACCTGCCTCCAAGGCCCCCTTTTCTCTGACAGCCAGAGAGCCAGAGCAGCTGGGCCTGGGTCCTCCAGTGGCTCCTTCTATCCTGGCCCTTTGCTGTCTCACCACGCCCAGCTTTCATAAACAGACTCCCCAATTGCCTGGATTCCTGCTGTGCGGAGGTCTTTCCTGCCCCAGGCAGACCGGGCGAGGCCAGCCCCTCTTCCAGCAACAGTTCTGCTTCTCAAAGATAGCGGATGCGGAAAGGAGGTGGAGAGTCTAACGTTGGTTGGCCATCGGATGTGCCAGGGACTTTCCACGTGGCCTCCCACTGGTCCCCGAGGCAGCCCTACTTGGTTGTGGTTATCCTTATTTTATTTTTTAAAATGTTTTTATTGACGTTAGAGAGAAATGGAGAGAGAGAGAAGAGAGAGAGAGAGAGAGAGAGAGAGAGAGAGAGAGAGAGAGAGAGAGAAAGAGAAAAGAAAGAGAAGAGAGAGAAAATGAGAGAGAACGAGAATGAGAGAGAGAAAGAGAGAGAGAGAGAAACATCAATGATGAGAGAGAATCGTGGATCAGCTGCCTCCTGCACGCCCCACACTGGGGATCAAGCCTACAACCCAGGCAGGTACCCTGCCTGGAAATTGAACTGTGACCTCCTGGGTCATAGGTTGACCCTCAACCACTGAGCCACGCCGGCCGGGCTGACTACCCTTATTTTCTAGTTTGAGGAAACTAAGGCTCAGACGAGTGTCACGTGGGTACTGGGTGACAGAAACGCCCAGATCTCCTGCTCCTTTCAGCATCCGGGAGCCCAGAGTTGGGGTCAGTGGCAGATGCATTCTCCGCGAGCTCCACGCTTGGGGAGGAGCGGGAGCTGGGGGGCTTTGGAGCATCCACAGTGTATGACTTACCTGTCTCCTGAGCGGATCAGCAGCTTCAAAGGGTTTCAGCAGCCAGAGAGATTAGCGGCTCAGGCAGAGCTGAGGGCTTATATGAGTTCTTAGTGAAAGATGCAGGAGGCGGGGTGGGGAAAGCCTGGATAATTTTGCTTTAAGTCCTGGGGGATGGGGGGCGGGGGGAGAATGTGATAATAGTCCGACCAAGAACTCAGGGAGGTGAAACAGGATCAACTTCATTGGAGAAAAATGCGGTGCTGGGGGCTGAATGGAATCGTGAGCAGAATGACAAAGCGGCGATTCAGCGTGGGCTGGGAACGCGCTCCCCGCGGTAATTACGGGAACTGGAGGAGCAGGCAGGGGCTCTGAGCGATGAGTTCCCCTTCCTGTCCGAAAGGTCTGGGAGCCAAGCGGCCCCTGATGTGCGGGCGGAGGCAGCGCTGGTCCCTTCTGGCAGGTGCGCAGAGCAGGGGCGGCGAGCCTGGACCCGCTGCCTGTGTTCATGGCTCCAATGGGTGTAGGTGGAAAAGAACAGTACTGTGTGACACGCAAAAATGATCTGAAATTCCAGTTCCAATGCTTACAAATAAAGTTTTATTGGCACCTTGCCGCACCCATTCTTGTGTGTTCTCCGAGGCTGTTTGTGCTACCACAGCCCAGTTGAGTAGTTGGGACAGACACCCCATGGCTCACAAAGCCCGAGATACTGACTCTGGCCCTTTACAGAAAATATGCCAGCCCGGGCCTAGAAGAGCCTGCACAGTCAGATTCCTTCTGCTCATACCACCCAAGTTCAAGGTTGGTCTTTCTTGTCTGGGCTTCTGAAATTCTTGCTAACTTGTCACCTGCCACCACTCTTGGTACCTTTTATCAGCCATAGAGATCTTTTTATTTTTTAAAATATAGTTTTATTGATTTCAGAGAGGAAGGAAGAGGGAGAGAGAGATAGAAACAACAATGATGAGACAGAATCACTGATCAGTTGCCTCCATCTCCCTCCCTCCCCCGCATTGGGGATTGAGGCCGAAACCTGGGCATGTGTCCTGACTGAGAATCGAACCATGACCTCCTGGTTCATAGGCCCACACTCCACCACTGAGCCCCGCCGGCCAGGTGAGATCTTCTCTTAACCCACTGTGCTGAGGTATAACTTCTCCCATTGTAATTCAATGACTGTCTAAAGTTGACAAGTTAGAGGACCATTGCCCCAGTCTAGTCGGAGAATAGTTTTGCCACCAGGTGGGATCTCTGTGGCCATTTACAGCCAGTCCTTCCACCTCCCCCGCCCCCGACCCTCCTGACCCCCCATCCTCAATTCCCAGCCTCAAGCAACATCTGGTTTTCACCTGCATGGGTGTGTCAGTGACAATGCCACTCCTGACAACCTGCCTGCTCCTGCCCTCGCCTCCTTCAGGGTCTCGACACAAAAGTCAGAGAACCCAGTTCGCAAAGGTCAGATCTTGTCACCCCTCTGCTCT